CCAGCCACCCTTGCCCTAGATTCACCGGGGAGGCTGTCGACTGTTTTTGCACATTCCAGTGTCATCCCTAGCTTCATCCTCCTAATCATAGCGTGCCCCACCACACGGCAGTATGAGGTGATGATGATGATCCTCTCCATCTCCGTCATTGGTAGCCACGCCAGCTCCACCGGATCGGAAATTTCTCTGACCCAGAGAGATCGGAGTCGTTGGGAAGACGTCGTCGAGTGTGAAGAGAGTTAAGCCCTAGACTGGGACGTTCTGGACTGTTTCCGGAACCTTGTTCCCACAGCTACATGATTGGTGTATTACTATTTCCACTTGCGGAAGGCCGATTTGCCCCGCTCCAACTCACGGCCTGACGTTGCGTAGTATATAAGAATAGACTGCGTTGCTGGGTCAAAGTCGCTTAGCACTGTCCCGCAGCAAAATATAAACCATGTCCCACTTGAAGAAAATCGAACGCAAGGTCGAGCGCAAAGTCGAGCACCTTGAACACAGACTCTCGCACGACGCCCATCAACAGAAGGGCAAGTCCACCGGCAAAATGCAGGACCAACCCGCCTCCAAGTCCACGAATGACCTGCCAAAGGGCGTGAAGAACCGCCCCGATGAGTGGAAGATCGAGCAGGGTATCAATGCCGCCAAGCTGCCGTTCCTGGACCAAACGGGCTCCGAGACCGTCTACATCCAGCCCAAGGTATGGATGGTAAGATGACCAAGGACGAGGCGGCCATCAAGGCGGTTGGCGATCCGAACAAGTTGTTTCCTCGCGAGCTCGAGGGATGGAAAGGGTAATGCTGACTCTGTGAATTGTGTATGTGTGAATCAGATACTAATGGATTCTCAGATATGTCGAGTGGGAGGAATACCCCGAGAGGAAGAAGGCCGCCCACAAGATCCTCACCTCCCAGGCCTTCCCGCCCAACCCGGAGTTCCAGATGGGCCCTATCCCCGACTCCAACCCCGTGCTGCCCGGAACGCACTGGAAACAGTGGCATCATGCCATTGGTGGTGAGCTGACGGACGTACCCGAAGACTCATGGAACACCGTCCTGAAGGAGAAGCACCCCGAGATGCTCCATCTGCTGCAATTCCCTTACAACGGCGAGCCTCCCAAGAGACTCACCACTGCCCAGCCAGTGACGCCTAACTCGCTTCACTTCGTCCGGAATCACGGCGGTATTCCATTGATCGACAAGGACAAGTTCTTCCTGAGGCTGGATGGTCTTGTCAAGAACCCCAAGACATATACTCTGGATGATTTGATGGATGAATCGAAGTTCCCTCGCATGAAGAAGATGATTACCATGCAGTGTTCCGGAACCCGTCGTATCGAGCAGATCAGCCTCTATGCGGGTCAGGGTGACGAGGTCCCTCAGGCCCCTTGGGCTGAAGGTGCCATCGGAACCGCCGAATACGTCGGTATCAGCTTGAAGAAGGTCATTAAAGACTGTGGCGGCCTTCTGGAGGGCGGCAAGCACCTTGAATTGTATGGTGCCGAAACCTACTTCAAGAACGACGAAGTGATGAATTACCTGGTCAGTGTGCCCTGGTCCAAGGTCAAGGCCAACGAAGTGATGCTTGCCTGGGAGATGAACGGCGAGCCTCTGCCTAAGATCCACGGATACCCCCTGAGAGTGATGGTGATGGGATACATTGGTGCTCGTAGTGTCAAGTGGCTGTACCGGATCAAGGCCATTGAGACCCCCAGTCTGGCGCCGGTTCAGAGCAAGGAATACCTCTACTTCAACCAGCAGGTTGGCAAGCATAACCAGCGCCCCACGGATGGTATCCAGATCCAGGAGATGCCGGTCAGCTCTGCCATCATGTCCCCGTGGAAGAACCAAGTCGTGATCCACAACGGCAAGATCCGCTGCAAGGGCTGGGCCTATTCCGGTGGTGGCCGATGGCCTGAGCGCGTGGAGCTCTCAGCCGATGGCGGTTTCAGCTGGTACGCCGTGCCGCTCGAGAACATGTCCAAGAAAGGCCAGTGGACCTGGCGTACCTGGGAGATCGAGCTGCCCTGCGACGTGGAGGGATGGATCGAAATTGTGTGCCGTTGCTGGGATAACGCCCTGAACACGCAGCCCCTGGCTGTCCGTGCGGCATGGAACTGGGGTCTGCATGTCACTAGCTCCGCGCACAGAATCTCCGTCTACAGCATCAACAAGAGCCGGCCCTTGACTGCGGAGCGTATCGAGATGTTCAAGCTCATGGCCAGCCTATCGCCCCTATCACATGGCCCGAAGAGCTCCCGACCCAGACCTGGGATGAATACAAGGACTTCTTCAAGAAGTACCCCAGAGATGCGGATAATGAAGCGGTTTAGTACGCTGCATCCAAAATTGGCAATTGTTTTGGCAGCTTTCGCTTATGACTTTTACGACGAAGAGTGGTGGGGGTGGATAATATTGCGTTATGGTATAGCTAGCAAGTATATGCTAAATTGAGAAATATCAGATTATTATTTTGTACCCAGAAATATACAGTTTATCGAATTTGCTCACTATCTGTTTGGTAATGTTTGTATAGAAATATGCTCGCCACGGGACCACAAAGAGATTGGACTATAGAAGAGAATAACCTACCATGCTCAACTTAATCGATTTCATAACTTATGAATACTTCTTGTGTAGAAATTGGTGACTTTGCCTTCCTAAAATAGGACTCGCTCAGGGCCTGCTTTAACTCAGTACTCGGTCCCGGGGTATAGAAAAGGTAAACGTATATATATACTGATTGAAATATCCATCCCTTAGATATGATTCACGGCAGCTGAGCGAGAGTCTGGACAGACTGTTCATCCTTCAATTCGATGTCGGCATTCAGACACTAATGACGTTAATGTTAGGCCTATCTAACCTTAGAAATTCCCATAAAGGTGGTGAGAATAATTTGATCACCGACCATGACATTGCGAGATTTAACATCACCATGAGTGAAGATACTTCGATGAAATCGTGTTAGCCGGCCTGGTAGCTTATGTTGAATAGAGCCGCTCCTTAGAGGTAAGGTAGGTATCTTTCGTAAATTCGCGCCCGAAATTCGAAGTCACTCGTTAATGGCCGGGATGGGCTATCAGCATCTCCGCGACCCATATGCCACAAGCCACAGCCAATCATGAAGGCCAGGTCCAGGATAGTCTTTGTAGGAAGCATTGCCAAATAAACATGCTTCTCTGCACAATAGCACTTAGACATCTCCGCCAGACTGGCTGAAAGCGGAGAGCCAACTCAGGTCCCAGCAAGCCTCGGCGAACCAATGCTTCGCAGGTTTTTGTCTCCTTAGCAGAGTCAATGGAGATGGGATCTGTATTCCGGACTATATGCTTTGTTTTGCGCTCAAAGTCGTACGTTAGCAAAGCCATCGTAGGATAAACATTGTGTCAACAAGCCGAAATGAGACCATCAAATACTTCATGGCGGTTAAGTTCGGGAAACTCCATTTCCCCAAATCGGCGATCCCATTCCTTGGCGCTTAGGACAATGTCGTCGTAGGGTTCATGGCCGTATACCATGAAGTATACAAGTGTGCCAGCCGCAAACCGTTCCGTTTTGGCGGAACATAAACCGTATGTGCCTTCCAATGGCCCAGCACGTATTAGTTGGGCCCGTGGAGGCAGGGTACCTTCGAGTAATTGTCCAATAATGGTTGCACGACCAAGAATCACCCAACTTCAAGTTGAAGTTTCTGTCCAGAAGGCAGTTGCCTGCATGTAGATCGTTATGACAGAATCCCATCCTCTCGACATATTCAAGAGCAGACGTGATTTATTGTATCCACCGAGCGATAAGCACAGGATCCTCGTACTCCTTAACCTTGATAAGACGCCCGCGAACGCCATTCGTTCCTGTCTCTCGCTCCTGGCGTTCATAGAAACGAGGGGCGATGGCCTTATGCGTGCAGTATGATCGAAAAAGATGGTCTGGGAGAATGAGAAAACATTCAACAATATTCGCGCATCGCGCCTGGCACTTATTAAGACGTTTTTAAAACGCGACATCCTTGAGGGAAAGATGCTCCGTTGGCTTTTCTTCCGGGGTTCGGTCGCGACGAACTTGTTTCACTACAATAGTTGGCGTGACATGGTAGACATACGCGTCAAGTCCTCCGCCAACCCAGTTATGTTCTTCGAGAGTAGCGGCGTAATGAAAACACATATGATTGTAGGCGTAGCCGTACAGTACTTTGGCAAGGGCATATATACAGAGGAGGGAAGGGGGGAAGGGGGAATGGAGAAACTTGGGGAGATCGTCCGTGTCACAAATAGGTCTCGATCTGACCACGCGATGCCTTTTTCGTCCCAGTGAACCCTTCCTATGGTTAACAGGTTGTCCCTCTATTATGACAAGTGCAAAGCATCTCTTATGGATGATCAATATAGGTCGTAGATAGTTCCAAGTAATAGCTGAATAAATACTGAAACAACCTTAGTGTAAATCATTTAGCACGTCCCTAATATTCCGGCGGGTCACTCTTCGGGCCGCCCCTTGGTCCTCTAATAAAGCCAGCATCTAGACGGCGATACATATCTAAGCAACCGCTCGAGGTAATTACATTGAGGTTGTCGATCTTCCCAATATCCGGTAGAGGTATTACTCTTGTGCATGACTCACAGGTATTGTATATTCGCCTTGGAGAAAATTTTAATAAACGGTTACTCTACCAGATACTGTTATCTGGGAGCTTACTCTCTGGTTGTAAAGCAATGAAGTAAGATAATTGATGTTTATAACTACAGTCTACTTCCAGGCAGAGCTCTCTCTAAGAAGCCGAGAAGTGATAGTCTAGGAGATACTATTGCATTGGGAATATTCAAAGTACGAATTAACGCATCAGGAGATTGTACAAGAACAGTCCACGTTAAACTTATATATCTCTCGTAAATACATCCAGAGCCTTTTCTGCACATCGCTGGCTCATATTCATAAACGATGACTTAACACCCTACAGACTAACAACCCCCACGACCGAACCATTTGTCTTGACCGTGATAATCAACGATGCTCAACAAATTTTGCCTCCGTGGTATCAGACGAAATACTTCCCGCAGCAGACTTTCTCCTCTTGGCAACCGTGAAGCCACCCAACAAGAAGAAAGCCGCCTGCAAGCCCAAAATAACCGCAAGGGTAACCATGGCACCAATAACGCCGGCAACAGCTTTAGAGATCCCATTATCGTTGCTGCCGGTCGACTGAGCACTGGCAGAGTCAGAGGACGAGGTGGCACATTTTCCATCCGTATTGCCGCACGCGCTGCACCATTCCTCCGTAGACATGACCGCGATGCTCTTGGTCTGCTTCTCGAATTCAGTCCAGGAGATGGTGGCGCTCGATTGGCCGTAGAGGGCAAACTCAGTCGGCTCGCCAGAGCCAGTGATGGTGCCGTTGTGGAAGATGAAGCGCACGGAGATGTCAGCTGGGTCGGGGAACCCGCTGGTAGAGTCGGTGATCAGCTCCCATGCCATTGAAGAGGCGTAGTCGGGAATGCCGGTGAAGTCAGAGTTGGCCTTGGGGAGCTGGGCAAGCCCAAAGTACGAGAGGAAGGTGCCGTAGGAGCCGAATTGGATGTTCAGCTTGGTCTTACCCTGTGTGCTGATCGTCTCGCGGAGCCCATCGAGCATCTCTCCGGCCAGCTGGGCACCGGCAATGGCCCGGACGGTCTCTGTCGAGTTGTAGGCCAGGTTGTACTGCTCGATGTTGGCCAGGGTCAACAGCTGGTGGAACTGAGCGTCGGTGGGCATGTTCTCCGTGCTGGAGTTGTGGATTCTCGCCACATTGAGGTAGTCCCAAATGGAATAGGCGTTTTTAAAGCTAATGTCAGACTCGGAGAACTGGGCCTTCAGGACGGGCGTGAGGGAGGTGTAGAGGTCTTGAGTGGACGCCAGAAGATCCTTGTACAGTGTCGAGCTGTAGTAGCTGTTGCTGCTGACTTTGGCCTTCTGGCACTTGGTGGTGTCCTGGAGCCATGTGTTGTCCTCGCTGTTTGTTCCGGTGGTGGTGAGCGAGAGCGGGACCAGTTGGTACCCGTTCAGTGGCGCCTCCACCGTAGTCCCGTTGGCCAATTCCTGGCTTGCAATTGTGCCAACTGGAGGGTAAACACCCTGCAGGAAGCCGATGGCCGAGTTCTGCAGCACAGTATCAGATGGCGCAGATGCACTAAGCTGCTTTAGATTGACGATATCCGCACTGATACCTTCAATCTGAAGGGAAGAGTTTGAATCGATATAACGGTTGTGGTAGTAGCTACCAGTCATGAACACCTCACTATATCCCAGGTCCGTAAGCTGGGTGTTGCCCTGTATTTTAGGGGTGCGGTCCCCGTGGCGGGCGAAAATGTACACACCCAGCACTCTCTCCGCAGACACTAAGTGGGCCTGGGGTATGGCCAGCATGGCCAGCATGAGGTAGTCTCGCGATGAGGTCCACATTTTGCAGGAAGAATGCCACGCCTGAAAGCAATTGATCACTAACTCGTTCGTAAGTCATGGGAAATCTGAGGTAATTATATACTTCGCAGGGTTACACTCAAGGACGGACACTACAGTTACTACGAAGACCTGAATCAGTACCCCGCACCTATACGGACATTTTAACGACCTCGTCCGTGGAGAAATATGTCACTAGCTACATGGCCAAAGACTATTTTACCCTTGCACACCAGTAGCAGTTCTAGACGTTATATCTGGTGCATAACTAATACTGTTGCCAAGCCTAGACGCCTTGGCGTGTCTGAGAAGGAAACAGGCGGCGCCTCTCCGACTGGGTTCCAGGCGCTTGCTGAACTCAATGCAGAACTTGGAGGAGAGGTCTAGTATCCCACTTACCGTGGGTCAAAACACGAAGGAAAGCTTAAACCAATCTGACTGGCTGAAATGTCCATTCTGGCTGTTTCTGGCAAGTCTAACTGACCAATAATTCACCCCTGCATCACACCAAACATCATTGACTACTGAATTGACTCGACGCCTGGTACGATATGGTTTGTGTGGCAGTCGCGGGTGCATTGGCCCTTGTAGGAAGGTAGAGCTAATAAATAGGCTAGTCACAGGGTATGCCTTGCTCTTATCAAGGGTCCAGATGCAGGGTTCTCGTTAAGCCTGGTCATACGTAATGATGTCGAGGGCAAGTTGCCACCAGGGAATCGGATCTTTGCATATTCAAGAACGCACACTCTTTGGGCATGATCAATTAATTGAATTGATGTGATCAACCTGCACTACTGCTTCTTCGCTCATATTATACTCTCAAGATAGTTCGATGTCTACTAGTACAATTGCATTCTTACAATTCCAAGTGTTAACACAATGCGGAAAAACCCACATTCCATCTGCTTATAGCCGAGTTTATTCATATGACAAGTTTGACAGCATCAGTTGACACTGCAGAGTTTTGTACTCTAATCTTAAATCACCCGCATCCGTAAACAATAGGCATTATCGACGTGAGACTAGATTCCCTCCCCATCCCAATCCTTATTTGCCCTCCACTCTCCGTCCTCCGGTTTGCTACCAACGAACTCCTCACGTTTCCAGATCTCGGCCTTGGCCTTGCACTCATCCAGGATCTCCTCGGCGGCTCTCCAAGCCGCACGTCTATGCCCCGAGCTGACAGCAATTAAAATCGACGCCTCCCCAACGGCCACAGTTCCCAGCCTATGGGAGATGCTCACGGCGATGAGCCCGTGTTTCTCTTTGCTCTGTCGCGCGATGTCTGTCAGGGTCCTCAATGCCAGTGGTGGGTAGGATGTATAGCTGAGCTGAGCTACGGCACGCCCGTCGAATGTATTTCGCGTGTCCCTAGGAAAAACACATTTGCGCCTGCTGCGGGGGAACTGGTGTAGGATAATGCTGTATCAGCACTGAGGGGGTCGTATGTCAATTCGATATGGATTTTCTCATCGGGTAGAGTGACGGTGCGTGGAAATGTAGACCGGTCAAGGTGAGCGGGGGTCGAGTTTTCGGTTTCGGAAGGTATCGACGGGTACGACACTGTACTCGTTGCTGTTGAGACGTCCATTTTGAAGAAATGCTGTCTAACGTGGTGAAGATATATATTCAAGTGCGAAAGTCCTCAATTGCTCTGCTTATGATCTTACAACTGGTAGTACACTACACTTCTTTGGACCATTGCAAGCCGCCTATCTATCACAAACAAGACCCAAGACTCGGTAAGATAAATCGCCCAAGGCAGTGGATCTATGCGCCAAAGCTGAAGAGGGGCAATTGTTCTTGATCGTATTCTGCAAAGTAGGGTTCGAAGCTACTAAACCGGTGGGGCAGCGTGACCCCGCGCTAGGCTGTTCTGGGAACAACTAATCGACCAATTACAGAAAACCTAACGTGATGCATGTCAACCCTCATGCGAGGGATTGTTGGCAGACTAATGCCCTTGGAGATGGTCGCTTTGCATGTTTTTCAGCGACGTGTCGGAGATTTCGCGGTGAAAGGTCGTTTTTAATCCGGGTTATGTTGTTGAAAATGGACGTCGATGAGGTTACATTTGTGTCTTGCCGTTGATCTCCCGTCTGATTCCCTTGAGTGAGACAAATAGAGGCATTGTAATGCACGCACGATGAGAGAAGGAATTCGGAGAGTAGTGGGGCATCTTGGGCGTTGAGCTCTCCACTGCCTCACACTCAAGGGGTCTTGTAATTATAGAGCAGGACTTATGGTCTGACAAACAATATGTAGCCTGTCAGGTCTTAGATGCTCTCCTGGCCATGTCAATATAGAGTGACTGCTTTCCCGTACTCATTCTGCGCCAGTATAGGGTCTAACATACTCTACTTCCGTTGATCAACTTGGTTAACCATGGCGAACACAGCATTACAACCCGCAATACTGATCATATCAGATACTGCATCCGAGGATCCGTCGACCGATAGGGTCGTGGATGCTCTAACACCACTATTACTAGCCACAGGCCAAAGTCCCTGGAAGACACCATTCGCCAACATAGTCCCCGATAATATACTCGATATACAAAGGAGCATATGTGACTGGACCGACGGGCAAGATGCCGTGAATCTAGTGCTCCTCAGTGGTGGCACAGGGTTCACTACTCGAGACAATACGCCTGAGGTTCGTTGAAACACAGACAATATTAGCATAACCCCAGCTCTGATACTCTGAGACACAGGCGGTAACTCCTCTCCTGCATCGGCATGCCCCTGGACTTGTGTATGTTTGGTCTCCGATGTCTTTTACGGCTGGCACTGACACGCAGCAACAAGGCATGGCATGTTGGATGCATCGTTGAAAGTCACGCCATGTAAGACCAAGCGTAATCATTTACTCTGCCGAAAATAAGACTGATCTCAAGCGCAGTCGCGATGATGTCTCGGCCTGTCGCAGGAGTACGGAATGGTACACTGATAGTCACTCTCCCGGGGTCGCCGAAGGGGGCGAAAGAGAACCTTGAGGCCATTGTAAAGCTTCTTCCTCACGCGTGCATACAGGCGGCCGGGGCAAACTCCCGACTTCTACACGCTGGCGGCATGCAGAAACTTGAAGCAGAAGCCGGCGTCACTGCGGAAAATAATCAAGGGAGCGGCACCGAGCATTCCCATAACCACCAACCGCAACTGGGACATAGTGATTGTGGCCGGCATCACGGAAATAAGACCGCAAAATCAAATGACACGAGCGAGGGGCCAAGCCGACGGAATCGCCTATCCCCATATCCGATGCTGTCGGTTGACGAAGCTCTCTGGCGTATCAGTAACCATACTCCTGATCCAGTCATCGTTGAGGCCCCAGTGACACCTGCCTTGGTTGGATCCGTGATTGCTGAGGATGTCTACGCTGGAGAGGCCGTGCCGGCTTATCGGGCTAGTACTGTTGATGGATATGCAGTGATTGCTCCTAACTTGAATGAAGATAGTACAACTTCTACTACTAGAGGAACCAAGGGCATCTTTCCTGTTGCCTCTGTTGCGCACGCAAATGCTAGTGACATCGCTCCCCCGTTGGAATGCGGGACGATCTCGCGTATCACTACTGGTGCACCACTGCCTCCCAACGCAAACGCGGTGGTTATGGTTGAAGACACTGTTCTGCATTCCTCCACACCAGATGGCACCGAGGAGGCCACGGTGGAAATCCTAACGGATGATATCAAGCCCAACGAGAACGTACGGCAACCCGGAAGTGACATTGAATTGGGCTCAAGGATCCTTCGAAAGGGCGATATTATCACACCCGTCGGAGGTGAAATCGGCCTTCTGGCAGCAACCGGCACTAACACAGTTAAGATTTATAAGAAGCCTTGTATTGGCGTTATGAGCACAGGAGATGAGTTAGTCCCGCATGATGATCCCCAGAGACTTCATGGTGGCCAGATCCGTGATTCTAATCGGCTTTCCCTACTTTCATGTCTCTCATCTTGGGGCTTTCCCACCGTTGATCTGGGTATCGCCCCTGATACCCCTGCAGGTGAGCTCGAAGAGCGGCTACGCAATGCGGTCAATAAGGAAGAAAACAGCATCGATGTAATTATCACGACAGGCGGTGTCTCGATGGGAGAATTAGATCTCCTGAAGCCCACCATCGAGCGTTCCCTTGGCGGCACGGTGCATTTTGGTCGTGTCGCCATGAAGCCCGGGAAGCCAACCACGTTTGCCAGCATCCCCGTCAAGCGGTCACCATCTCAAACGAACGATGCACCGAAAACATGGGGAAAGAAACTCATCTTCTCGCTACCCGGGAACCCCGCCTCGGCTCTGGTCAGCTTGCATTTGTTTGTGCTACCCTGTCTGCATAAGCTCATGGGGATGGGCCAGGGAAGGCTTTCCTCGGGGTCCGGCCCAATACCGGGACTTCCTGTGGTGACGGTGACTCTGATGCATCAGTTGCCGTTGAATCGCGAGCGCACGGAATATCATTGTGCCATTGTCAGGGCATCCCAAGCGGATGGACTGCTGTATGCTTGTAGCACGGGGGTTAGTGTTACAGGACAGCGGAGCTCGAGGGTTGGGAACCTTGCGCATGCGAATGCTCTCTTGGTATTGAAACCCGGACAGGGATATATTGAAAAGGGAACGCTGGTAGAAGCGTTGATTATGGGCCCTATCCGGTCAGGGGTATGATGTGTAGATTTTAGGTGGTTTTATACATTTAGTCCAATACTATTGCGCCGTTGACAATATGACTGGATCGTTCATGCGTTGATCTTTCTGGCCTGAAGAATATATATTAGTGTCCTATAGTATGCTTGGCGTCATATCAAGACGAAGCCAAGCTCTGCAGGATTGGCTCGCGTCAACCTAAATCCCAGCCACCAAACTGGCAAGGTAAATCAGAAAGTCCGAGAGGACAGGTAAGCAGCCAATCCAACTATCTGTATATGCGATGACGAGACAGAGCAATACTTCGACTATCATTCGCTCGTAGCTTCAGGGCGTGCCGTGTCAAGCCATCTAAAAACTGCAACGAAATGCGACACGACGCCGCCATGATTCGCTCCATAGTCTTGCCGAAGACGGAAAAGACGCCAGGCTAGAGCGACTCCACTTGGGACATACGGCGCAGCCTTAGCTTCGTCCTTAGGGTCTGTGCTCGGCAGACTCAGGCCATCTTGCTCGGAGGTGCAATCACAGCCCGCGGAGATAAAGCCAGATGATTTGCTAATTGGTGTGGACAGTGTTATCCAGCGGTTAGACACCAAATTTGCACGTTTCTGCCAACCGAGAGAAATTTCTTGTTGATCCCACGCTTCTTTGGTAACTATATCACCCCACGGCAAGCAAAAAAAAAAGGAAACCTCTTTTGCTAATTAATCTAGGGGTAAACCTGTGAGCTACCACAGACGAAAATACCCACGAAGAAATAAATTCGCCAACCATGGCTCAAGCGACCGGGGCCTTCCAGGTTCATTACTTCGCCAGCGCATCGAGCTATACGGGCCGTCAAACAGAGTCTCTGCCCGCACCACTTCCGTTGGCGAAATTGTTCGATGTCTTGGAATCCAAGTATCCTGGGATTGAGGAAAAGATTTTAACGAGTTGTGGGGTTAGTGTTAATGTGGAATACGTGGATGTGGAGGAGGAGAAAGCGAAACTCCGCGATATGGAAGCTGCCCCGGAGGGCCAAAATCAGGGCCTGGTGATTATCAAGGACGGTGATGAAGTAGCTATTATTCCCCCAGTTAGTTCGGGGTAAGTCTGTCTCCACTTCACTTTAGATATGAGAGAGATGAGACCGTTTTCCTGCAAAGATAAGCCTCCACCTTTGACTTGCACAGCGTGCATATGCAGCATTAGATTTATATAAAATCGAGAGTCATGGATATCAAGCAACTCACAACTAAACCAAGGTATGCCCCGTAAGGCCATGAGGCATGCATACAAGAGAGCGAAGCCGTCCCGGTTTTCGGCCCGAGCGCTGACTCCACCACGGTAACTGCGAGCAATGTACCTAGCTGGGTGATTGGCAGTTGACTTATTGGAATGGCCCATTCAGTTATATTTCCTCCAGGTAAGAATGGTCTGGTTTTCTACGAAGCGCCCCCTTCTCATGAACTGAGGCTGTATATGTCATGCTACCTTAGCCCAGGAGAGCAATGGCCTCATAACAACAACCAAGTATACTCATGCAGGCCACAAAACTCGAATGGTTACATTATGTACCAGCCAAGGAAGAGATTAACCGCCACCGTGCCTGTGGGTCCGATTCATTAGGTTGCTTGATTGCACACTTCTTATCGTCAGTGGGGTTCGTAGCCCTAGTCCGGAGACCGCCCGAAACCGAAGCCTTTCCTAGTTGCTGATGCAAAATGATTTAAATCTCGATCAGCGTCGTGCTTACAGTGCGTCTTCTAAACATTCTGGACTGCCTTGAGCTCAGGTTACGGTGTGCGGGAGTTCACCTGTCATAATTCGCCATGGCCTACGATCCAGAGAATGGAATGGCAGACGCCAGGGCCGATGCGCCCGTAGAGGCAGGAAAGGAGCATGAAGCCACGCAAACCACAGTCAAAGAAGACACACTAGTCTATGACAATTCTCCCGACCCCAGCAGGCGGGACTCCTATCGCCCCACGAAATTGCAAAGTAATTTGACCATTGTCAGCTGTGTGAGTTGAACCTTGCTGGCGCGAAGCATGGAGCGAGAACTGATATTTCATGCAGTACATCGCCAACTTCAGCGACGGGTTCCAAAACAGTCTTGCCAATCCTACCAATGTGATCTTCAAAAAGCTCCTAGGCACGAATGGATACCCTTCGGAGATGCAGACGCGCATCAGCAACTCGCTCCTAATCGGCGCCATCTTGGGTGTTCTCGCCCTGGGATACACATCAGATATGTTTTCACGTCGAGCAGGGTTACTATTCACCTCTGGTCTCGTCGCGATCGGAACTCTGATGTCTACACTCGCGCTCCAAGTGCATCCGACGCGCAATATGCTCTGGTACTTTGTGATAGTGCGAGGTATCGCTGGCTTCGGTGTTGGGGGCGAGTATCCCCCGAGCGCAGCGGCTGGCATTGAGGAATCTGACGACGTAAGGCAGACACTGCTTCTGTTCACCTATGGCATAGATATACTAAACTTTAGTAGTTCAAAAGGAAATACCGTGGACCACTGTTTGTTTCCTTCACGACGCTGATGGCGACTTCAGCTGCGCCCATTCAGATGATCATCTATCTCATCTGCCTCATCGCCAGCAATGAAAACCTCCCAGTCACCTTCCACGCGATATATTCGATTGCCACGATATTGCCAGTAATAATCATGGTTCTGCGTTTCTTCATGACCGACTCAACCTTATTCCACTACTCGAACTTCAAACACCAGAAACGTCCCCTCAAGTTCTACCTCCTCCTATTGAAACGCTATAGATGGCGTCTGTTCACCACATCCCTCGCATTCTTCCTTTATGACTTCATCAACTTCCCCAACAGCATCATGTCCAGTACGATCATCAACTCCCTGGTGAAGGACCACAACATCCGGACCACGGCAATCTGGCAGGTCATCCTCGGTGCTCTCCCAATACCTGGAGTCATCGTAGGCGCTTGGCTCACCAATGCAATCGGCCGCCGATATACCGGCATTCTCGGGTTCGCCGGCTACATGGTACTGGGGTTCGTCATCGGCGGCACATTCCCTCATCTATCAAAGAATATGCCCGCGTTCGTGGTCCTGTACGGCCTGCTACAAGCCTTGGGTCACATGGGGCCCGGCGCAACCATCGGACTAATCTCAACGGAGTCGTTCCCCACCGCCATGCGTGGAATGGGGTACAGTATTGCCACTGCATTTGGAAGAACGGGTGCCGCCGTTGGGACGCAGTGTTTCACGCCGTTGCAGGAGAGGGCGGGCAAGCAGTCGACTTTCTACTTGGCGGGTGGTGTTGCTATCCTCGGCATGATCGTGTATTGGTTCTTGCCGGAGAGTAGTGAGTTAAACCTGGAGGAGGAGGATCGGGAGTTGAGTCAGTTCTTGGCTGAGAATGGCTTTCCGATGGAGAAGGCTTAGGACATTCATGATATTGTTAATAGATTGGTGTTAAGATGAAGATATGGTGATGGAAATGTTTGCTGCCTTCTGGGACGGTGGGCTCAAACTCAACTTGCTATGTCGACAAATTAAAAGTATATCCGCTAGATCAATGATAGAGCACCTTATGTCTGTCATATACCTTTAGTTAATTAAGGCATTGTTTTCAACATTCATACAAGCTCAACTAAACTGTCATTGAAACCAGAATGTACTTCCAAGTAACACATACAAGCAACTATCTAGTAGGCCAACCTGAGATTATACCTGCGATACATCTATCAAAGCCCTCAACCACCTCTCAGCCACCCCAAGCTATCAATACTCCCTCCGCCGCACACGAATCTTGACATCCAGTGGAGGAAAAATAGTCTGACCAACAATGGAGTTCGCCGGCCTCTTATCCAAGGGCTGGATATCATAATTGATCAATACATACCCAATGATAAGCTTCATCGCATGAGCTGCAAACCAACGACCAGGGCTAAACAAGTCAATCACCATCCTTCTACCAACACTATTTGGAATCAACAGTGTGGATAAACCACTTACCAAGAATGCCGCCCATGCCCAAAAGCCAAGAACTTCTCACTCGTCACCGGGATCATCATCGCCTTCGATTCCTGTTTTTCATCATCCGTTGAAAGGAAGCGAAAGGGCCGATATTCATCCGGATCCTCATACGTCTGCTCATCATGATGGACACCAACCGCGGCTACGGCAAGCCAGGTACCACGGGGCAGGAACTGCCCGTCAGGAAGTGTGATGCCTCCTTTTTGGACGACCCGTCGGGATAGCATGCGGTCGGATAACGGACTGAGACGGAGACTTTCCCGAATGGTGCTTTCCATCTGTGGCATTGATTGGGAGATGGGCTGGGATTTGTCCCGGTTTGCAAATGATGCTGTGGCTTCTTCACGTAGGGTTTGGTAGTATCGGGAGTCGGGTCGGAGCTCAGGAGGTCGAGGAAGAAGTTTGCCGTCATTGCTATGAGCACGTCGACGGGGAGGAATACCTGTGGATAAAGGAGTTAGTATGGCTTTAATTTTATCCTGAGACTGAAATACCGCTGATATATGCACTTACAATGAGGGTAAGTCGGACTATGAGACCGCTGATGTTCAATCTTGGTGTTGGATTCTGGCTCATGGCCAGATCAACCATCCATGTGACCATGTCTGCTGGTGGAGTCTCTCTCTTGGTTCTCAGGCATTGTATGCGTTCCTTGAATGTCGGATACAGGTATATAATGAGACGCACCCAGTAATAATAGATGGGAAGTCCGGCAACGAGACCAACGACGGACTTCAGCGGCCAGGGAACAAATTGAGACACGAAGAGCATCATAGCTCCAGTGACCCGAGTAAATGCCTTTACATAGTAGACAAACTTCCGATTCCTGGAGAGAGAAACTCCGAAGAAGAGCCGTAGACATATTCCGAAGATTACGCTGTCCAATACTGTAGTGAGATTAACTTCTTTCCATACAGTGTCACCGGGAGGGCCGAGTGCTTCATCTGTGGTATATCTCAGTTCATCAAGAAATGCGTCTTCAGTATTCGGGATATTTCGAGTAAGGTCGTTCCGGATAGCCCTAATCAGTTCAAGATGGTCGTAGTTGTCGAATGCTGGGGCGAGGAATGGGAGCGCATGGACATCTTCGTTGGCCTTTTCGTGGGACAGGACGTTTTCTGGTTGACTCAGGAGCCATGGGATCTGCTCTGGTGGTAGCAAGACCTGGGGATAGAAGCTTGGGTTGCATAGTGCAAATGGCTCTGCCTGTGTGGAGAACTACAATCTCGCAGAAAAGGAACTCGTTAGCATGTGAATAGAGGGCTGTCCAACACATGTGCCAACCTTTCTATAGCCATTCTCGCTGGATCTGGACCCGCTGTACTCCTTGAGACTTAATCTAAGAGCAGAAAGAGGTCCACTAGGAACTGAGGGCCACCATCGCATAGATGACGGCAACCTGAGATAACCAAACCAAGGACATAGTAGAACAAAAGCCAGAACACAAAGAGAGGCGACAAGCATTTGAGCTGTTAAGCTGGTTGCCATGTTTTCAGCCTGCATTCTAATTTTGTGTGTGAATTCTCAATCTCGATAGAGCCTTTTGCTACTGAGTGTTAATGTAAAAGGACATGGGCCTACGTTAGATACCATCCTCGACGAAAGAATCTGACAACCAGGAAGACAATCAAATGTTTAGAACATGCTGCTCTTGAACGCCTAGGGTTGAATAAGCTGACCGGTTCCCTGGAACCACTGGCCGACTGTATTCTAAATGTGACGCTCAGGGATACAAAACCAGACTCAGGCGTAATCATATATTACCCAACACTCTATGCTACGGTAAATTTGGTCTCCCTTGCGTCGGGGCTTGGTCGCAATGTGTCAAATACGAACATGAAGTGTGATTTGGCGTGCCAAGATCTGCAGCCAATCTTCCACACAGTAAATAATAGGCGTCCAATGACTAGGATATTTTTGTAATGCACAGATACAAAGTTTGAACCAAACAGTATGAGTCCTAAGGAGAAGCCGGAAAAGGAGATTGAATGGGTGAGTGAAGGAAAAGACTCTGCATATGACTGAGTTTAGCATGGGAAAGCGGCTACATTCCATCAAGACTGAGATATCCTGCACTCGGCACATATTCAATGGCACTGTGAAGCATTACATTCGCTGTAGTCTAGGGGTTGGTTGGAGGTATTAAAGAAGCTCAAGGACATATTATAGACAAGGAACCTTGTCAATTCTCGCATAGCATCCACAATGACGGAAGAGCAGTATACCATCGTCGCTGGGGTCTTGAAATTAGCCTCAGCAGTTACCTGTATTGCTGTGTCCTTGTTCCTACTATGTCCATGGATTGCTTACGCTAGATTGCCATCGTCCTTAAAATCACCAATCAATGGAAGAGGGCCGTTATCAGCACTTCGGGCATGCTTGAATGAGGCCAACGCCAAAAACAAAACCTCGACAAAAGGATACGAATTGGTGCGTCCATCTAACTCTTCCATATAAGACAAGGCTTACGCTATCGTTTTCGGCCGTACAGTTTTCCAAAAATGGACAGTCTTTTGCAATGCTGAACATCAACTTTCGCCCTCAAGTCATCCTACCTCCGGAGCATGTGCGCTGGCTGGTCACCCAACCAGAGGATATCCTGTCTCACGCCAAGGCCAGTGACGATACTGATGCGCTGGGGTATATCTGGCCATTGTTCGATGCATCAGCTTTGCACTCCTTCGCCAAAGTCCTCCAGAATGATCTCACCCGAAATGTTGCACAGACAGAGCAGGATGTCTTGAGAGAAGTGCAGCACATCATGGATGAGATTGTCGGTCAGACGGACTCTTGGGAAGAGGTGAATATGGTTCAAGCCTTCGAAAGGATCATGTACCAGGCGACGCAGCGCGTTTATGTGGGACTTCCTCTCTGTCGAGACCCCACATATATGGCATATGTGAAAGGATATGCCCGCTCCTTGGGAACTGCTATGGTGTTCGCAGCTCAGCTTACACCTTGGCCTCTCAGACGGGTTACAGCGCTGCTCGCGGGTTTGCCAGTTTACTACTATGTCCTTCGGGTCCGATCATACCTGTCCCCACTATTCAAGGAACGGATGGAGCGGCTGAAAGAGAAAGATAGGACGAAGGACAATTTACTCGAAGGCGAGCCAGGGGACCTGATAACCTGGATGTCAAATAGCGTGATTGCCGGGGTCGGGCCTAAGTCGGTCAGCCCCAGCGAAATGGTAACATGGCTTGGAATTTTGGTACGTGGTTCAACCTAGTCCCTTGGTATATTCCCAGATCTTGGCTGATTGCGCACAGGCCCTCCTACCAACAGATAATCTCTGGACGACATGCACAAATGTACTTCTTGATCTGCTGAGCTCCGAGTCGGAGCACGCTTACCTTGATAGCATCCGTGAGGAAGCAAAGTCAGTATTCGCTTCAAGCAAGAAGTCTGGTCAGCCCATGTCACACGGACTGAATCGTATCGACAGCGCCATTCGGGAGAGCCTGCGGATGAATTCGTTATCACCGAGATCCCTCCATCGCCAGGTTGTACGTCGTGGGGGGGTTGTGCTACCTGACGGACAGAAGGTCCCAACAGGGACTTGGCTGTGTGTTTTGTCCGGCAACATCCAGAGAGACGACGACTTCTACGATGATGCACAGACCTACAAACCATTCCGTTTTGTTCCAAAGCTGGCTGGGGCTGGGAGCGGCAAAGCACCGGTGTTGCCTTTGACGAATGAGAAGTATCTGACTTTTGGTCATGGGCGACATGCATGGTAGGGAGTTCGGTTCGTTATTCCACCTTATCTACGCTAACTAGGTTTCAGTCCCGGCCGATGGTTTTCGTTCCAGGTGATGAAGATTGTCATTGCATACATCATCGTCAATTATGACATCCAGCCACTGGACAAACGCCCGGACAATATCGTTTTTGCGGATCTCAACATACCCCACTTATCCCACATCATTCGGATCAAGAGGAGGAACTGAATACAGTTGGGCTATGCCATCCTTGGGGGAGTGCGGTCGTTGCACAAGGAGGCAAAGGGGGCAATAGACAAGACAGGTTCTTACATCTTCTCCACCCCGACTTTCAGATGTCAAATGGGTTTGCGTAGATTCCGATAGGCCGTAGAGCAAGGGAAATATCAGAGTGTATCATTGCTATATGATCATGCAGATGGAAACGTCATATAACGGGGTTGGTGGTAAAGTATCGATCGTACAACAGTAGCTATGGTTACAGCGCATATTCGTATCCGTATAGACCCATCCTGCACAATGAATGCCTCAGGGTCAGGCTTATGATTCTCCGCCTTAGCCCGAGGTCTTGGAAATGAACTTTCAGCCGCTGTGCAATGTGACGGTGTCCACTAGATCCATTTCGAAGTTGGCTATACATTTACCGACAGAACCCTCCAACCTGAATATGCTTGACCCATGGTCAAGCCATGTAATAGAATCAGGAGATGCATTCTATACGAGGTCGCTGAACTATGTGCCAAGTATTGAATTCAAAACTTGCAGGTGGCAGAGACATGTCGGGTGGTACGATAGCAACCGGGTTGCCTGGATCTCAATATGATCGGCAGCCGATGTAGCACACGGTATCCATGGGTCGGAATATGCCAACTGCATGGCCTTTCCGACTGAAGCCGGAAAGCAACTTAGTCCTCCAACCGGCCACGTATTCTAGTCTTGTACGGGCTAGCCGTAATACAAAGCATTGTAACCACAATGTTTGATGTGTGAGGTTTCACAAGGGGACTCCACTTGGTAGATGATATTGAAAGGTCAGCGGCTTAGAGAATCATTGAGCATGAAAGTCAATCCGGTATGTGAGTAGACAGAACAGGAAACATGTACATATACACTGCCACTACTGCATCCACAACCACAGTAATAACCACTCATGGTGGATCAATGCTTATTCGGTGGGTCTGTGTGATGAGATGCAGGGCGGCGGAACATTAAGGTCAAACTCAACGGTGGCCTTATGTGCTGGAAGGATGTAGTTCACTGTCAGACTCGGACCTCGTATCCTCCAATAGGACGATATAGGAGCGTTGAATACGAATATGTCTGGACCCTTGGCGCTTGAGTTCCGGCCGATCGCTACGGGTCTTACTAGTAGTGCATGAAGACGCATGAATCTCTATGACACTCGACTATGCTTGTGATAGATGATTGGGACCTTCCTGACCTGTCCTATTCAGGTCTGAATATGCATGTAGCATGACACATGGCATATTAGTGGCGTATATGCAGCCGCTGGCTTTGGCGGGCCTGATCCATAACGACAGCACAATCCAGACGAGACATCTATAATTGGATAGAGTTCTATTTGAAAGCTTCAAGACAATCATGCGTACTGTACTACTCTCTTCAGGGTTGTCCCAATAAAAGTTAACGTCCATTCGATACAATAATCAACTAGGTACCTCGGGCCATATCACCAGCCCGTTATACAATCCTGAGCAAGGAGTCCATAGATCACAAAGAGCAATACCCTAGTTTGTAAATCTCGCAGCAAACCAGTCACGCGCAGAAGTCAATTTGTGCTGTTCTTCCGGCCGACCCAACTTCAACGCTGTGATCTGCTTCAATTGCCTGGCGGTATCGACCTCCGTGGCTTCCGGCCCGAAGTATCGGCCGCCTGTCAGCTGCGTGAAGCCAAACATGAGTTTCACGTCCTCAAGCTCCTGGATTCCATGCGTATCAAATGCCTCCCATGTGGGTAATATGGGCTGGAACCGCGCCTTGCGTCCTGTAACCGCGGCGAAATCCGCTACGACCTGTTCAAAACTGCGGATGTCGCTGACACCGTGAACGAAGTGACCGTTCCATCGACCAGGGTCCAGGAAGATACCTTGAACAATATCTCCGAAGTCGTCTGAGACGCTTAACCATGGAACATGCTCATCTCCACCCCAGTATGGTACTCTGAAAGTAAGGTATCCGTGGTCATCAGGGAAATAGGGAAATCCACCGAACACAGGAGCGACCTCTTTGCCGAGGAAGTTTTCTAGAAACCAGCCGGCGCCAATAGGGGTAAAGGTCTCGAAAGATTCAAGGCTCTTTACGTAATTCTCAATCTTGTTCTTCACTATCCAGGGGTTATTCTTATTACTCCGGTCCACAGTCCTGTGATGAGGGGTCTTACTGTCCATTGCCTTCATCCGTACTTGGCCATTTGTCATCTCCGTGCAAGGGGGCCCAGAGCTAAAGACGAGATGCTTCACACCAGCCTGAACAGCAGAATCAATGATTATCTTGCCCATGTCGAACTCTGTTGGCCCACCTTCAGTAGTAAAGACCTTAATACGCCTGTTAACGGTTTGACTCTGTCGAGGTAGCATAAGCCATACCCACCTTGTCATCAGAGTTGATGTTGACAAATGCCCCCCAAGAACCACTAAATGCTGACAACATGTCATCGCTACTAAATCCACTTCCTTGAGCGAGCTCGGCTCCGAGGGCAGCAAGCTTTAGGCTGGCATCAGACTCAGGGTTTCGAGTAATCACACGTACACTAAAGTCCGAGCTTTGAAGCAGCGAATGAGCCACGGAACCACCCTGCTTGCCTGTACCCCCAAAGATGGTGATGAGCTTACGATCTGAGCTCATGACGAAATGGTGTCGGGGAGTCGCTGTATTCAGTAGACAAAGTCTCGTAATGAATTGGTAGATATCATCAAAAGAACAGGAAGACTGAGTTGGTTTCCGAAAACCGAACTTGCGCATCTGGGCCTGACTTTATAGATAACTGACAACCATAGAAGGGGAGTTCCAGGCAGCAGGCAGCACCATTACGCAATGAACGGCGGCATCAAACGAGCTGCGTTAAGCACATCCTGGAGTATCTGAGTTTGGCTCGTAGGACGCAGCTCGTGTCATCATCTATTTAGGTTAACATTACGCCCTTATGTGCATGGATAGGCCGCCCTCGCATTCGATGACAGCTTCCCATTGGCCTATAGTGCTTCCCACGATGCCACACCATATACCTACGATAAATGGCGCTATACAGCGGTTTCCCATGAAGGTATGGGACTTCCTAACTTCAGGATACTGTCTTACCTGGGCGGCCTGATATCAGGGTTGGATTCCTTGCGCTCGGGTCTTCTCTCGGTTCATCATGCAGTAATGTAGTACTGATGACAATATGGACGAGGCTCTGTATGTACAAGGTGACAAAGCATTGGACGGCGTATATAAACAGCTCCTTCCAGGGTGACTTGTGTAGCTCAACTTCCTTCCCTACCTATCAAGAGAATATTCTACTACCGACCCAAGCAGACACCCTCGATGCCTTCTCAAATATTGACTCATGAGGAAGAGTATGACCTGGCTGTACGCCAGGGGAAGGGTCTTGCCCAACAATTCTTCGATCATGTTTTCCTCAACCCTTCCGCCCTTGCTCTGGTGGACGGTGATGCCAATTTGACGTATCAGGACCTGCATGTGAGGGCTACAGTGCTTGCCCAAGAACTTCAACAGGGAAATTTGCATTTAGAAGAGCCGGTTGGTATTATCGTGCAACATGGAATTTCAGATGTGGTTGCCCAAATGGCTATCCTGTATGCAGCGGGTACTTGTGTTCCCATGGATCCAACTCTGCCTGACCTGCAGATCAAGGGTCGACTAGACAGATTAGAGGCAAGGTATATCCTCGTCGATAAGGCTAACCAGCATCGTGACCTGCCATTCCATTCCTTAGTCGTCGATGACTCCAGCGCGTCGTTTGCCAAGGACTCGTGCGTCTCGGACAATGACGAGCCTATGCAGACAACCCTCCAGCATCGCACCCACATCATACATACGTCCGGCACGACCAGCGAACCCAAGGCCGTTCAGATCGCGGCACGCTCTATTCTGCAGGTGGTCTTCCATGCGCCGTTCGAGCCTCTGTACCCAACAGATAGAGTGGCCCATGTCAACAACTCAAGCTTCGATGTCTCCCTTTTTGATATCTGGGCACCGCTGCTGCGCGGAGCTTGCATTGTGGTAGTGAGCAAGGTCACCTTGCTCGATCTAGAAGCCCTGGCAGCCTACATTGATCAGCAGAGAATTACGGTGATGGCTACTACCACCGCTATTCTCAATTTGGCAGCGTCGGTATACCCTCGTGCATTTGAGAAGTTACGCTTATGTTTCATCGGAGGCGAAGCTGCCAATATTCCGGCCATTGAGACTATCTTCCAAGCAGGCCCGCCGACACAGCTCATCAACGCGTATGGCCCGACTGAGTGCTGTATATTCTGCCTTGCACACAGAGTGACCATCGCCGATGTGCAAGCTGGAGCAGTCAGCATTGGAAAGCCAATCGGACGGACTGTAGCTTATATTTGTGATGAGGCCGGTCACCCAGTCCCGGATGGCCACGAAGGTGAATTGCTTATCGGTGGGGCAGGTGTCTCCCCAGGCTACATCAACCAGTCAGACAAGAACCGAGCTTCCTTCGTGCCTATTGAAGGTAGCGACTGTGAGCGGTTCTACCGAACAGGGGACATTGTCCGCCGACGGGTGGCAGATGGCCAAATTGACTACGTCGGAAGACGAGACCATCAAGTCAAAGTTCGTGGGTTTCGAATTGAGCTCGAAGCCGTCGAGTCTGCGATTATGAAAACGGGACAGTTTTCCGAGGCAGTAGCCCTGAAGGTAGAAGCGGGCTCTGAAGGAGCCGGTTCCATTCTGGTTGCCTTTGCAGTTGCCCTCTCTGGAACTAAGCCCCACGCGGTCCTGAGTGCCGTGGATATGCTTAAAGCTGTCCTGCCGGACTACATGGTCCCCAAGATTGAGCTCATCTCCAAAATGCCTGTCAATAGCCATGCCAAGGTTGACCGAAAGTACCTCGAGCAGCTATTCCGCAACCGGTGGGCTAAACAGCATATCGATATCGACAACGAGGATAGCACGCGCGGTAAACTTGCCAACCTGTGGGCCAGCATTTTGGGTGTACCTGTCCCCGCTTCCAATGACAATGCTGATTTTTTCCTCCTTGGTGCTACGTCCATGCAAGCCTCGTTGCTCATCAGTCGCATTCAGAAAGCTTTTGATGTTCAGGTGTCTCTTCTGACACTGTATGACAATAGCAGTCTCATTGGACTGGCCGGTATAATTGAGGAACGTATACATGGCACCCAGGAAAGCTTTTGCAAGGAGTCAGAAAAGCACATGTGGCTTGAGGATAGCAAGCTTGCGGACAGCCTAGTCCCTCTTGCGGGCCCTCCGGTCGATTGGTGTCGTGACACCGAGGGACGGGTGTTCTTAACCGGGGCTACCGGTTTTGTAGGGTCGTTCTTACTTGCTGACCTACTGCGTCAGCCGAACGTGCATCAGGTCGGATGCTTGGTACGCGCTGTGGACCCAGCGACGGGCCTTCGGCGTCTGCAAAATGCGCTAGCGAAATATAACCTCTGGGAGGACCAGTTTCGTTATAAACTATTACCTCTCTGTGGCACCCTAGAAGACAAGTATCTTGGGCTAGGGCCGGATCGGTTTGAGGAAATTGCCCACTGGGCTAGTGTTGTCTTTCATCTCGGTGCCCGAGTTAACTACACCCAGCCCTATTCACTGCATCGTCCCGCCAATGTCCAAGGTACCGTGAATGTCCTGCGCCTGGCATGTGCTGGTCGGTCCAAAGCATTGCACTATGTTTCTAGTATCTCCTGTTTCGGCCCGACGGGGTTTGTAACAGGCACACGGACCGTTATGGAGAATGAATCCCTTCTGCGACACTTAGACGCCCTTCCCTATGACCACGGATATGCCCAAAGCCAGTGGGTGGTGGAGAACATGTTACAACGTCTGATGGATAACGGGTTTCCCGTTGTGGTATATCGGCCAGGCTTTATCACGGGACATAGCCAAACTGGTGTCTGTAACCCCGATGACTTTCTCAGCCGGTTAATCATTGCCTGCGAAGAGATGGGGTCATATCCTCTACTTCCAAATCAACGAAAGGAATTTGTACCCGTTGACTACGTCAATGCCGTTATCCTGCATATCGCCTCAGCGGCTACTGCTGTGGGCCGGGTATATCATATTGTGCCTCCAAACCGGGACCTCTCCTTGGATATGAATGACTCCATGGAGTTGGTTGGTTCCTTGACCGAGGGAGGCGATTCCTCCGTCCGTGGTGTAAGCTACCAGCAGTGGATCGAGGAGTTGGATAGACAGTCCCCTGAGCGGCTTCGGCCTTTACAACCGATGTTGACGGAAAAGCTATACCAAGGACTCACACGGTGGGAGCTGTACGAGAACATGCCCGTGTATGACACCACCAACACGGGACAAGCACTGGAGAGCTACCCTGGCGGTCTCAAGTTTCCCGTGTTGGACTCCGCCTTGATGCAAAAATATATCCGATACCTGCAAACTCAGTTAACGTGTCCGAAAGAGGAAAATGCGTTGAACGGCACGGACAGCTAAGGAGCACGATCCACAACACTATTGGCTGCATTGCCGAAGATTGTATAGATGTTAATCTCGGCTGTATGCTCGCAATGAAGAAGTTATATTTAGTCGGGCTTGGGGGAAGGTATTTCTTCAGGTATCTTGGGTTTTGTCTTAAAGAACGTCATCATATGGGGGAATTAGGCTTTGTTTTCGTATAGTGCAGCCATTTGCAATGTCAATATCAAGATCAATCTCCACCTCCCTTCGCTGTGGTCTGACCTTGGTCCCTTCTCCCGGGCCGTCTTCCACGTGGCATTGGAAACTATTGATTTTCCACGCGGGTTCTGGGATTCACTCTCATATTAATCCGCTAAAAATAAATGTCAAATTATTGACATCCGTGCCGAAAACGGTGTCGGCTAACGACACTTCTAGCTCTAAACGGGCATGGACTAACGCATGCTGTCAGTAGGGACAAATCAGGAGGAACCCGGGAACAAATCAGGGTTGCGAGCTACTGCAACTGTTCAATTCTCTGTCACACAGTTCCACCTGAGAACACGTATTCTCATTGAGATAGTCACGGAGCCTCCCGTCACAAACGGCTGGATATGCCCGCCGTGGCAACTGATAGTCTGATATAGCAATAGAGTGGTCTATTCTCGGATCTTGGCGTCAGTAGACGGGTCAATAGTCGGTTGTGGAGAGGAAGATCCTATATATAGAAGTTGTGCCTAAGCATGCGAGCCGTGAGAAAGGAGAAGGCGGTGGGGGATGGGCTGACCCGGCATAACTTCCCCAGTGCGTGAGCGGTGAGGCCCATTGACCCAATGACAAAACATGGAAAACCATGCAGATTGGGTTCTGGTCACGGGGGCGTTTGCCTTTTGCCCCTATTCCGCTTGTTGGCCCCCCGTGGTACGAGAGAACCCTAAGTAAGTACTAGTAGGGACTGGCACACCCCCTCGTCAATGTCCTCAAAATAGATCCTTCCAAGGATTATCATCAACCACCGTGAGAACATTCCTCAACCGTCGATGTGATTTTCTGCCGACGGAAAGATTCAACGATTGGCGTGTACCCTTCACTCGGATTTGCTGATCATGGAAAAGGGTGTCTCACCTTCTCCACCAGACCATTGATCAACGGCGCACTATAGGGATAAATAGTTAGGGTTGCCCCTCATTGACCGTCGTCAGCACCCCACTACTCCTAACGGACTCCAATTATTTGTGTTCATACTTGAAATATGTCAAATTCCCCCATGTTCCGCGCCTTTTGATCCTTTAAAAGCCATTCAGAAGTGGCGCGTTCGACTTTCAGGCACCTCCAGCGCGTCGCCATGCATTTGGGATTGTCCTCGAGCTTATTTTAAATACTACGTCTCCGTTTTCGCGGAGATGACACGGGTCACGATGGATCAAGACACGGAGAACAAGGTCCTTGTCATTAAGAATATGGACTCCGGATATCTGGTCGCCGGGGAACAGGTCACCCTCGAGGACGTGCCCTATGATGCGACCGCCCCGATCGCCGAGGACGAGTTAATGCTACAGCTCCTCTATGCGACCTACGACCTTTTCAAACGGGACCTGGCCAGTTCCTCGGCTGACGCGACGGAATTGCGGGGCCGGAAGCCGGTTGAGACGATGAGTATCGCGAAAGTCACCAAATCCAACAATGAGCATTTCCAGGAGGGGGATATGGTCATCGGTCGCTTGCCGGTTCAACAATACGCACTGATTAAAGCCAATGACGTGACCAACTTGAAGCTCCTCGAGAATCCCTGCGAGTTCGACGATATTCGGTTATTCCTCAGCGTCCTGGGCGTCCCAGGTCTCTTAGCCTTCTCCTCGTTATACGAAATCGGTCGACCTAAAAAAGGTGAAACGATCCTCATCGCGGGTGCGAGCGACGAAATCGGCCAACTCGTCGGCCAGATGGCTCGACTGGAAGGGCTGAAGGTGTTCGGTAGTGTTGAATCAGATGAAAAACTCGACTTTCTTATTACAGAACTCGGTTTCGATGGAGGATTTAATTACGCCAAGGAGAGTCCCTACGAGGCTCTCCCTCGTCTCGTCCCCGACGGCATCGATATATACTATGATAACTTGAGCTGGATGTCCCGCCTGAATATCGGCGGGCTTGATACCCATTTCGACCTTCTCGGTAGCAGACATTTAAATGCAGCATTCGCGTCCATGCGACGGTACGGCCGGATCATGTTTTATGGGACGATCGCCGAGCAGACCGTGTTGGACCCTATCATCGGCATGTTTTTGCACAATACTGTTCTGAAACGACTTACGATCCGCGGATTCGCGCTGTCTGACCCCAGCTTTGGGAAGAAGTGGGGCAAGCTTCATATGGAGCGCATGCAACAATGGGTCAAGGAAGAAAAACTCAAGATCCCTACCTTCGAGATTACCGGTATGGACAACGCGGCTAAGGCCTTCGTGGAGGCCTTCTACTCCAGCGAGAATACGCATACGCATACCATCTTAGCGGTTACGTGATCAGCGACGTGCTTCTGATCTGGGAAATACACCGTTCGACACCGTTCGCCCGCGCTGCCCTGACAGAGTTGAGGCTGTCCTTTCCCTCATCCTCCGTGTCTCCAATCGCAGCAAATCCAGGGCATACATGGTCACATGGGCCATATGCGACGACTACCTTCCGCAATCATCTTGGCTTGCGAGCCAACGCGACAGCACATCACGTTTGTGCCATACTCCAGGGGCCTGTAAGGACGCCGGTGAATTCCCTCCAGCCCATTGAACGTCTCTCGTCAGTTCCGATCTCTCGACATACTTTTTCTTCAATGGGAACTGGGGAATTTGGCCGGTCATAGTTCATCCACCAAACGGGAAAACAGCGACCGTTGTAGACCGCCCCACCGCTCACCTCCTTCTGCCTGACAAAAGCGCTGCCTTTTACCGAACACCAAATCCCTGTACCTCACTCGATTGCTAGCACGGGAATGCTAGCTGGAGAAGATTTTACTAAGTCTTGATACTTTACCGATATTTTTGCGCTTTTTCTTAGAGGCTTGAATTACACGAAGAGGGGCCGCCTTCATACTAAACAACTCACGTTCACCTTGTAAATATACAGTAGGCGGTCAGATAAAAGCTCGGGCCATCGAAACACCCGTGAGCCGTGGCTCTTCGGATCCTTTCGGGTACCTGGGCTATATTGCCTTGGTTCAGGGTCTCAACGGAGAACTTAATGCCTTTAACAAATTTAGTATCACATTAATACGGTCTGTATAGTTGCTATGCTGGTTTATTTATGCGAAAGCTGCATTTTGAGTTATGTATAAGGAGTTAGAGAATGGGATTACCACACCATGTAATTCGGCAGGATTATATATAATCGGAACTGTACATCTTAATGTCTACCTAAGAGACTCAATGCCAGTAATTAATCGAAGCGCCAAATTGAGTGACACTATGGACCAGCGACTTAGAATCATTGTGCAATTTGTGTCATATAGTGGCTAGAGGTCCATTCATCTGAAAGCACCATGATTGAATCTTGATATAGAACGCCACTTAGATACAACGAGAAGTATGATTTGCTCAAAGATGAAAGGCATAGCAAGACCGTCAAATAGAAGGTACGTGGATGTACTTAAAACGTATAACAATTCGTCATTAATACGCAAGTTTTTTCAGCATCTTAAAGGTAACCAGTACAGGCTCCGTGGCCTCCGAGGAATGAAGTGGGAGCAAGACTGCTCTGCATGGATGACGCTGTCTCTCCTCTGACTGTGCCAGCCTTTCCCTGCATTCTTACTAGCGAGACTAGTTTCTCTCAATTGTTACCTCCCCCGATGGTTTTATAACAAAACGTCTGCTTCTGATATTCGCCGACTCGGGGTTTTTATACCAACGTTTGGTCTCAGTAACATCAAACCGGCGAACGGACTGTGTTTCTGGCATAATTATGATCTGGATCCCTATAGCAAGTAGTTCATCAGGTTCATAGCAGTTAAGGTATAACATGTTATAAATATTCCCCATATGGCGGAGAGGAATATTGAGGTATATATTTTCATCACCTCTAGAAACTTGCGACACAGGCAACTGGATTTCACAGAGTTCGAGCCTCGAGCATGAGGCAAACTCCCTGGGTGAATCTGCCAATAATATGTTGTGACTGAGAGGCCCATTCTGATGGTCAACCTTCCACGCGAATATCGAAAGATCACGGGAATACTTCTTTATCAGCTCTATCTGCAGCCGGTGAAAAGCATCGCGTGTACTTTTATCCCGCTTCGAAGCCATACTCACATTGAATATTCCCTTTAGGCTGTGTACCGCATCCGGCGTGTCATAGATTCGAGTGGCTGCCCAGGACATACGCTTCGCGATACACGCATTCTCTACGTTCTGAGGATGCTGGAGGATTGACTTTTCGATCGCAGTCTCTTGCTCAAACCAGTCGAGTAAACTGGACTTTGTCTCCTGAAAGTATGTGCCCTCTTGAGAATAAAAGTAGATTTGCTGTGAAGCCAGCAATTCCTGCAAGGCCCAGGGCTCTCGAAGCCACTGGCTTGTTCGAAGTCTATTTTTCATCTCCGGACCACTATCTGTGTACTGGACATCCTTGAGATAGACCAAGCACACAGCTGCCCTTCGGTACCACGAATACTGCAAAATATCCATGTCCTCTTGCGGCATGATATTTTCACCATTGAATTTAAAGCAGGTAGCGAGTTGCACGTACGCTCTGCCAACCCAGGTTGCGTATTTTGTACACATTGTGTCTTTTCTCTCCGTAACTGGCGAACCGGGCTTAAAATCCCTCCAGGTATAGGAGAAAATGCTGACCTGTACGTCTTCCGGTGGGCACGGCTTGAGGCTCCCATTCAGAACACTTGCATATATTGGGGTAGCTTGCGTCGCTTCTGAGCCCTCAATATGGTTATTATCCCGAGAGCTTGCGACACGTTCCATTATGTTCGGGAATTAGAGGAGATAGCAGCGTGAGGGGTCAAACTAGAACGTAAATCAGAAATAATCTTGCTTTGATGTTGATATATTTGTAGCATTGGATTGGGCAATCGTTAGGATGGCAGGTTCTCAGCTCTTATAACCACGATGCTATCAAGGACGACCATGTTGGACAAAGGCTCTAGGTCTATAAAGAAAGCCAACTGGTTATAGGGATACCTCTGATGGACAGAGCAGGCGTGCATCACCCACACTGCCTCAGAATGCAGCGGGTCCTTCCGAACCATTAATATAAAACTGGAGAATGGCCTTTCAAATGTTTCGACTATGGCTGTTGAGCGATCTTAAGATACCCAATCAGAGCTATCTATGGAGCTTTCTCCAACTACATATCAATGAATTCAATTTGGTGCTGTTGTGCTAAATTTGTAGACTTGGTAGGGCACCGAAGTAGGTACTTAATGAGATCGTTCTCTTATTCGCCATGCTAACGGGCCGTTTCTTCATACCGTATTTATGTCCTCGATGGCAGGAGAGTTGCAAGCCTTTTATTGCTGGCCTAGTCTTCATGGTCTCGCATCATCATCACTGCGTACCTACCAGACAGCCCTAAGTAATCCGGCTTGGATGTCGTAGGTTGATTCGCCATGCTGTTATTTCCCTTTACTTGTATCCATATGCAACCGAACATGCACCGTGCTATATCTGCCTGTTCATTGTCACGACCACTACAGCCGAAACTCAGTGTCAAAGGGCATTGTTTGTGTAGCACCGTGATTATATGATTCAGATAAAACACTGAAAGCAGTGGGTCCAATGACTGGACAAAAAACCCCAACTGACCACAAAGGAATCTCAAACAACTCCCCGTCTGGCTCTAAGAGACCTTTATTCATCTAATCCGTTACCCATTGACCTTCTACATAACCATTGCGGGATGCTCAAAGAAAACCATCAGACCAATACGGCTGGACACCCCTATCCTGAAGCTGATTGAAGCGAAATGATAGAATAATGAATCGAATGAAAGGTAATAGAAGGGATCGGGCTAAGGAAGATGAATCTTGAAGTAGAGGACCATGAGCCGAGGTAGCCCAATTTGTCTGAAAAGCCCAAACACCGCTACAATGTAGTGTGTTCAGCAGAACTACCATTCACCTCAGGAAAGTCTTTAGACTTTTATTGGACGCTGCCGAACACATCCCCTTGGTAAACCGTCTTATAACTCACTAAATATGGGATTGGTTCAATAAGCCTACTGCATTGAGTCTTCTTCCACCCGTGGGATCAATCAATGCTACTGAGCTCTTATTACGACATGTATAAACCAGATGGACTAGGTGAACCAGCAATTGCATTCTGATAAACTCTTGTAATATGTCTAGAAAACCAGATAGAGCATGTCAAAAGAAAGAGTGGCCAGACAGATGGCATCGTCATTGGGCCATCTGGTAAACAATTTGTAAGAATTTGCAAGGAGTGACACCGAGCGCTGAGCTTGGAAAACGTGGAAACATACAACAGATTGAGGCAGTGGATGTATGGGAAGTAACAAAGGATAAGCTGTTCGCTCATTCATCTAGATAGAAAAGGCAGAACACCCTAGTCCATCAAAACATCAGGGGGATTGGCAGCAAAGTCCCCCCGCCGAAAGAAGGCAGTTCCATCTTTCCTGATGTAGAGGCGTCCGGTTCTTGTCTGTTTCCTGTCCACGAATGAAAGATCAATATTGCTTACTTTGCTAATGTCCGTACGGTGACACCCTACTGTAGTCGTTTCGGGCGATTTGGGCGGCTCTTTGCTCAGAGGAATGAGCGTGCACGAATGAGAACCAAACTCACGGTGGTAGCAGTTAAGGACCCAGCTGATCTGGCCCGGACCCTGAGCGATAGCGTGCACTTTGATAGAAAACATCTCATCACTTGATTCACTTCTTGGTATCTTCTCTATCGTTTCCCTAACATTAACTATTTCAACATCATGGCACCAGCGGAACTGGAATGGCGATCCCGCAAGGATTCCATTTGTACGTGGGTCATTAATATCGCTGTGTGTCCATTCGAATATTGAAAGGTCATTGGGGCATGCTTCCATGATTTCATGCTGGAGCTGAAGCATCGCTTCTTTCAGGCCAACGCCGTACTCTGGAACAAACGACTCGGACACACGGAAGATTCCGATCATACAGTACGCGGATTCTTCGTTTATTGGCTTGCCGTGTCTATTAACAGGAGGTTGTCGGTGAGATGCCCAAGACATACGTTCGGCCACGCTGCAACTTTGCACTTTTCCGGGGTCCTTTAGTACCTTCTCATCGATGTTTGTGAGAAGAGACAGCTCCTCGCAAAGGTCATCTTTGCTACCCACCTTCGTCCAATCGCTTCTGAAGAAGAGTATGTTCCCCGAGGCCACCAGTTCTAGGAGTGTATCTGTCCGCCTAAACCAGACGCTCTCCTTCCAATCCTGGTGGGGTCCAATGTCAGATAGATATACAAAACATAGGGATGCCTTCGCATAGATGTCATAGATACATCTCAAGAGGTCGTTGCTGGAAATATGGTCGGCGCAAGTTGACTTCGTCCACAGCCACTCATGATCGTACTCTATCGCCTTCTTGCAGGCTAGCTTGTCACGCTCAATATCGGAGAGAAATAAATGCGGTGGCTCCGGATCCTGTACGGATTCTATATCCCAACATCGCGAAAAAATTGCAAATTGTGGGGGAAAGTTCAGGAGGGTACGATAATCCCTTGGACCTCCATCTGCAGAATAGATCAGCTTGTGAGGAAGCATTTTGTAGATTCCAGAGTGACTGGTGATAAGGCGCGGCTGACGGAAGGCGAAGGAGGCTTGCCGTAGAGGAGTGATGTTCGCTGCCGTCACCAGATATAGGATGGCTGTGGCACACCAATTGCTTCTATTCGTATCGTTTTCACACTAACGAGCTGATGCGTCTAAGATGAACCGGGTAAATGTAAAATGAAATAACAGCTGTGAAGACTCTTTGATGAGGACTTGCCAACGGGTGCTAGGCTTGGAGGAATGAAGTTATCATCCACGGTTGGAATCGTACAGCTTTTATAGATATTCATATTCGTTGAAACCGACTACTGCCGGGGTCTCTAGCCGATCTACATGGGATTTATCTACCATAAGAGTGACCCTTCCGGGCAATGGAACTGATTTAAACTAGTACTATAAACCATTTGGCATTTTCCAGTCCAGGACATGTACGGAGATACCAACAGGGACTTAAATGAACCCCTATTTGAAAAGTTCCGGTGCGTGATGTACCAGAGTGCTATTGGGAGGTGCCTTGTCAGACTTTTTTGTGTCTTTCCTTTCAACCCCGATGGGCCATTTCCATGTCTAAGTCGGGTAACTCCATCTTTATCTCGGCTAAGTATACATCTTCGAGGGAATGGTCCGAGATGATGTTCATTGTTGCCTTCCTGTATTACCATCAGCTTTGGGAAAGGCCAAAGTGTCTTGGCACATAATGCCAATTTCCATTGACTTTAAGGTGTTTATTTCTAAAAGCCGATACTTGATATCTGGGCCAGATAGTGTGGTTTCACTAGGAAGCAAATGTGAAAATAGAGCATATGGAATGGTTAACTCTTCGGGCTGCCAATCACGTATTCCTGGCTGCGTGCATGTATGAGTGATATAAAAGTACCAAGCTCTGTATACACTTAACCGTACAGTGATTTATGAGGGAACGAGTGGAATAGGACCGAGCACACATAAAGAACATGGAAACAAGGACGAAATGCGCAAAGGCTCAGACCAAACTAAGACCCAAAGAGGCTGCAGGTGGTATCATTAGATCATAGACACATCAATGGAGACGTGATGGTAATCTTACTACCTTTTTCGAAGCATTTGCCGGTGCCTCGAGAAGGAAATTCTAGTATGTAATCACAGACATAAGTTCTGACATAAGACTCATGGTAGTGAATAGGACATTATTCATAGACATCACCTCTACCTCTTTCTATTCTTTTCCATAACCCTTATAACTATTTCAGATTAATGGAATTCCCAACACCATGTCTGAGTATTCAAGAGCACAGTAAAGCCTACGGACGAGTAGGTTACCTGCTAGGTATGGGCTTGGATATAAATAGTGCATTAAGGATACCTCAGGCTATGCAAGACTAACCAATACTGACTTTTTCGTATATCAAGCACGGGAGTTCAATATCTAGCATTGTGATAAAATACAGGCTGTATATACAGATTACACGCGATGGATAATACAAAACCCCTATTTCTCCAAGCCCCTGGGATCCCCATGACTCCGAATGCAACTGCCAAAGCAAACATGATCAAGAGCAATTGGGGTATTAGAGGACCAAATGGCTCTGTCACCCCTGTATAGAACGATGTTACCATCATCCTGCACGACGCAGACCACACTGCGGTCCCCTATGGGATAAGCTGTGTCGGTCTGCCAGACGGCTTTGCCATGTTTGGTACTACACAAGACACTGTATCAGCCCTAGAGAACCCATGGCTGGAACAAACGTACGGTGGCAATAACGTGGAGCATGGGGACACAAAGAAGACTGGGAAACGTACTACAGACAAAGATTTCCATCTTTGTTCATCTTCAAACCCTTGATATCGTTGCGCTGCTCGGTTGTGTTCTGGAACACACATTGACCCCAGTGATAGAGGGCGATCGTGCCATTAGCTTGCACGCTAAACTCAACTCCGCCGTTTCTACTCTTCAGACTCTGACCTGGTTCGAGCCAGTCGCCGGTATTGAGAACGTATGACGACATGCTACCATGGGATATATGAAAGTAATGGGGGTATTAGGTCACATTTGGGAAAATAAAGAGTTAGGCGGTTTATTGAAAGACTTGGAGCTTGAGTTTAGCCTCGGAGAGTATGACGGGCTTTATATTTCTTATCTCTGCCAATTGCCCGTCCATCTTTTAGGAACTAGTGCGCATGACTCAGAGTGGATGCCGAGGTCTATGAATCAGTCAGGGCTTTTACACTAGTTCTCACTATAGCTCAGAATTAAGGCAGAACTCTGTGGATTGAAAGGGTGGTAACAGAGAATACTGTATGTATATACTGTAATCCCCTCCGTATCACCATAAGGATTGAAAGAAATCCACTATAGGAGCTCCAGACGATTCAGACGAATTCTGAGTATCTCCGAGCCCTTTCTACCCTGCTAGTGTCTCCTCGTATCCGGTGGAGACACAGTACTCCATTGGATCGACTCAGCCAATTCCCCACACTAAATAACATGTTTATCAATCATCATCCATAATTCCAGCCCTCTCATCATGCCACTACTCTGTATGTCATGAAGAAGTGAGGATTGTCTCATATCAGCATTGATTCTAGGATTAAGGCTATACAAGAGCTCTGTCTATCCGGGCTAGGGCTAGGGCGGACCAACTCGCCAGGTCTCATACTTACTCTCCTTCGTTTGTAATATCGTCTTGAACACATTTCTAGAACTATTTGAACTCCATATACTCAATAGGCTCATGGTATACGTCAATATGAACAGAGGGGCTTTCGGCGCTCGACAAAGCGAGTTCCTATCCATATACAACATGGATAGGTACCAAATAAACTCCAGCAGAAATAGTAACAATGAAAAAGATAGTATGAATCATGTGGTGTTTGTTATAACTCTTACTTCCCCCTTGATAGATAATCATCGATTTATTCTATTCTAAAGTTGGTGTTGTAAAGCGGTTGCCGGTGGTCACTCCGCTACTATCAATGTCGAATCGCGGAAATCAGCGCTCACTTCGTCACACATACATGCTTACACTACCGGCTGGTCCAGCCCATGAAATAATAGAGAGCTTGTCTGACTTTCATACTCTATAAACCTGGCTACCTATTATATGCGTGGCATAGGATCGTGTGACAAGCTCACCCCACTACAGTGTCAGTCTTGTTTACACCTGCACAGTGCTTGACCTGCAGATTCATTTCTTATTGTCTATAGGTGGTGATATTGCTGAGCAGTGTAGCTACACGGAGACTACATGTCAAAGCTCGATACGCCTTCTGTGATCCGTACGACAGAAGCTTACAACCTGAGTTCTGCCGACTTCTTCAGAGTCCAGGCAGCCTTCGATATAGACATAACGACAGGCCGGATTGGCACGGAGTACGTTAGATCTGATGTCCAACAAGAAAGTGAAATCGCCAACTCCCATTACGCTAGTATAAGGTGTGCAATCTTCATCGTTCCGTCTAATCAGAGAGATCTACGATGCGACGATCCAACAGATCACGGCTGATTAGCAGACTTCCCATTGAACAACACGGACTCTCCAAGATGGATAGACTACCGAACGAGTTGCTCCTTTTACTTGGGCAATACATCGACGACGATCCTTTCACGAAACTGGTCTTGAGCAACTGCTCTCGCCGACTGCAATCGCTATTCAACTCCCCTCGAGTATATTCATCTCTCCACCTGTCCTTCATTAGAGGAGATATGTGAATTTGAAAACGAGACATGTCGGTGGGCTGCACACCTACGAGAATTTTCCGATGAGGCCTGGCTTGGTGTGCTGCTTACTCGCTTGAATAACCTGAAGAGCATCACGCTCGCCTATGGGGATGAAGAGTTTATGAATAGTATCTTTGACAAAGCGGCCTTGCGTCAAGCGCCGTTTCGCACGACCACTCCGTTCTCATTCCTACAGAAGGTCACTCTCAGGAGCCACTTCAGCTTGTTCCAACATACTTCGGGCTATTCAACGGGTTTATTTTATCTACCCGCTGTTCGTACGATGGAGGGCGTCGGATTGTGGGAGTCTTTTCCACGCAGCGGAAAATGGAATTTTCGCGGCGTGACAGGCCGCATGTCGCTGGTCACTGAGCTTGTGATGTCGCCAGTTTACGGCTGTCGAGGCCTGGGCGAGTGGATCGAAGCGTGCAGCAAGCTAGAACGTTTGCAAGTTGATATCGGAATAATGGAATGCGTCAACTATATCTTCGATCCTATCGGATTCCGCACATGTCTTGTGCCGTGCATGAAAACCCTCAAGGATCTTTGTCTCAGGTTTCACATTTCATACAAGGAAGACCGTGCCTTGCGGAGAGGTGAGGAGATATACCTTCATCTCCTACGTGACGATTTTCCGCTCGGGTCTTTCAGGGAGTTCTATGTTCTAGAACACCTATCCATGAGGCATGCCAATCTCGTGCAACTGCCAAATACAAACATCGAGGATAGATATGGCGCTGCTCCACAATCCCTCCTTGATTTACTGCCCGCATCGCTCAAGTCTCTCGAGATTACTGACGTCGTGCACATTTACTTCCCCGAGCTCGTCTCTGCATTGGAGGAGTTAGTTCGACTACATGTCACTTTCATGCCTGAGTTCGAAAGGCTTGTGCTGTATTTACAGGGGGATGATGTGGGACCGGCCGAGGCGACCTTGGTTGACCATCTCACGACGGTGTGTGAGCGCATGTGGGTGTGCCTGACGGTTAAAGACGATCCCTTCTGTACTTCGATTGACATGGCAGAGTCAACGCACCGTCGGGGGAGCTTGGCTGAAGCAGGAACTGGATTATGGGGGGGACTGATAATAGCAGGATAATTTATGAGGAGGCATTCCACGAAAATCTCATTTAATTTGAAAAGTTTCATCTAGCTCTGTTGCTTGTATGCGCCACAGTCATGATCTAGCAATCGCCAGCTGGTACTATTTGCTTATCACAATGATTACATTCCATCTAAATCCTGGTGTAATATAGGTCATAAAGCTCTAGAGTTCTCTGGCTACTCGTGAGGCTTATCCTTCTAAATATTCAAGTCCTATATGTTTTTAGTAGATCCACCCTAGCCATCTGATCAGAGGCATGCATGTTACGATTAAGCACACGTTAATCCCTACTTGAAAAGGCTAGTAAGCCTACATCCTTTAGAGATAACGCTAGATTCATAATATCTGTCCACACATAAAGGAAGAATAGCACATACCTTCAAAAACCTCAAACCCCAACTCCTATCCCGCAGTCCGCTGAATAAGCGGCCAGAATGAGATGAGCCATGACTATTATTATCGTTCATGGCCAGTACCTGCACTAGACCCAGTATAAATATCCAGGTCCCCCGAAACATGATACGCCGCTGTATCCTCCCTTCCACGATTCGCATTCTCAAAGCAAGAAACTCCTCAACCCTCGCCCCCAATCATGTCCTCGTTCGGCAGACTCAAACACAGATTCATACCACCCAGAATCTTCACATTCTGCAAATACACCATCTTAACAGGCCTAACCAGCGCCGCAACCTGGCAGCTATGGTCCCGCCACTGCTACTTCGAGCCCTTCGGTCCTGGAAATGATCCCTTGTTTCAGAGCAAGTATTTTCATCGATTTAATCCCCATCAACACCCCTCTTTAGACGATTCTTGCGTACGGAAGGTCCCTCTATCGGAGGTAAACCCCGAACTAGTGGAGGACCATCTCAATGGTGGCTCCAAGCTTTTGGAAAGATTTTGTGGGGGTGTTTGGGGTGGATATGGTGAGTTTTGTTGATGATTGTCAAGCGTGCATTGGTTATGGAACGATGAATCGGGGTGTTTGTGGCATGCAAGACTGATGAGAAGGTATATGGTGAACAGGCTACGCAATCCAACGGAGGATTCTGACATTGCTATGCAAGGATGAAACCAATGATTCCATGCTGTGGAGTAAGGAGCAGTTGCTTCATAGCTCTTATGATGAAGGTATGTATGATCTCTATTTTAAAGTTGTCTTCAATCTCCGGACTTAGGAAGCACTAATACAGAGGATAGGGACCATCGTAACAGACCATTTCATCGTTCTGGAGAAGACCCCTAGGTCTATCGTCATGCGGGGTGGAATGTCCCCGACGGAGGAGCAAGATAAACTTCGTGAGATGGATAATATTTCGGAAATAACCGTTGATATCGACGCAAAGAATCGGGTGGCTGAATTCCGACTGAAGAATATCTTCTTCAATGGTGTCGAGCACACTACGGAGGCACTGTTTCCACCTCCTGTGGTATGGCTTCATTTTCAGTATTGTAAGCTGCTCGTCGAGGCTGGGGTTAGTCATTGTGTGGGATAGGGTGGGAATAGCTAGGTATACGCTGGGATTGTTAGACTTTTGCAGTTCACTGTTTCAAACTGTGACTCGTCTATTATTTTGGAATCTAGGTTGAGCGAACATGTCTTGGGAAGGATTGGGACTTTGTACATTGTATAATATCATAAAGGATATTCAACACCCGAATCCAATACTTGAGTACCGCTCAAAACCACCGCCTCTTGTTCCGCTTGAGAGATGGCGCATGCACCTAACCTCGCCAGTTCGGTAGTGAACCCATCCAGGAATCTTAAGTGAATAGCTTCACCCAATGTGAGCTTTCGAATAGGAATTCGGCGGATCAAATCTGGAACTTCGCGCAGTATATGCACGTGGGAATGAGCTTTAGGGCCGAGGGGGTTATGCAGGGTATTGCGAAAGAGAGTCAGGATGGCAGTTATGGCGTAAAAGAGGAGGACCCTTGGTTTCGGAAACCACTGCAGTTAGTTACGAGTTTCTTAAGGTATAGTCAGAGCATGGTCTCTTACCAAAAGCATTCACCCTTCACTACGGGCAATACTGTCTGGAGATAAGACAGCGTTGACGTGCCGGCATTGATAGCCAGGCTGATACTGGTATTAATCCCACCTGCGGTGCCTTCCTTCGATAGTCGGCCTCTTTCGCTGGCTTGGTGGATCATGGTGACGCAGTGATAGTACGCAAGTCGCAGCATCACTGCCTGCGTGTTCAGCTTCGCACTCACCGGCATTTCGTGCGAGAATAATAAGGTGGGCCGGACGTCGGCGTGTAGAGATACCCTCCACTGCTCTAGTGCTTCGTCAAGATTCCGGATGCTGGACAGGATTTCGGAGTCGGATTTGCGCTGGGCGCCGACAGAGTAAAGGGCCTCGTATGCTTCGGACTTGATCTTGGAGAGTCGAAGATCCCATGGAAACAGCGGAAGAGTGTGGGTATCCATTGACATGGTGTCTCGCAGAATATTAGAGTCCTGCAGCCGCGCGTAGTCAGACGGGAGTGTCAGGTTGCAATAGCTGTCGTTGATCGCGGGGGGCTGTCCGGTTCGTAAACAAATATCCTTGTCGAATGAATAGCAAATCCAGAATAGATATCGCAAATGACATTCCTCGATGTTTTCGTCATGGGAATGCGAACCATCAGGTGAATACGCACCAGACATGGTATTGGCGCCAAGGGTATACAGGAGGCGGGTGGCGATTGATACAGATACGGCCGCCGCCTGTAAATCTCCTAGGAAGTACTGAAATAGAATCTTGCATGTTGTTAGTATCGTTCGAAAGGTGATGAAGCAAGCGGTGGGAATCTTCATAGATGAAATAACCACGTACAAGCATTACGACCGCTTGGAGTCCGTCAATGGTCATCTCTTGAGTGATATGGACCATGAAGGTTTGTGCCGCCGAGGCAAAGTACCCGCAATCCATGGCTTCCTGGAAGTTGTCCCCAACCTCAAAAAGGTTCACCACAGCGATGAATGCATAGACACATGACCTAGCACTGGCTGAGCCAAAAGAGCTGCGTGGTCCGTACGCAAGATCTAGGGTCTTCTCAAAGAGTGACTGGCTGATCACGGGAAAGACAAGGCTTTGGAACGACGCGAAGTACTGCTTGACGTAGCCCTCCACCGAGCATCGACTCGGGAGTTCACGAATGGAGCTGGAATTCAGAGTTTCCATATAAAGTCGACGCGTGTTGGCCCAGGGAAGATCAGGGGCATATAGCTCCTCGAAGCGGACCTTTTCTCCTGTCCGAGATTCAATCCATTTCTGACCTTCATCGGATAACAGATGCATCCAATTAAAGCAGGTCATGGAGTCTAGACCAAAACTCGAAGGTTGGGTGCGCCTTGAGCCTGCGCTGGAGCCTGTAGAGGCACCTAGGTAGATGTAAGACACGTGGATGCCTGTCGACAAAGTTTTCGATATAGACTATACTAACTGTGAAGATTCACATCAGGGTTGCTAAGGTTAGAATCTGTTTCTGACGATTTTTCAGAGAGCTGCAGATGTAGCTGGTCCCTAGTGAAATCCACGGGGTCAGTGACGAATGGCCAAAGCAGCCAATCTGATTAATAGCTGGACCAAAACCCAATAAACAATACCGCTCATAATGATAGCGAACTATTTGTGGCGGGGAATTTATATTATACATACCGTGGTTGCGTGCGAGTCTGAAGTCTGTTGTATGTGCAAGCAAGATTGTGATGCTTGCACCAATTACACTGTGGAAACTCCGCATCGCATTGTATCTGCAAAGGCCATAAGGGTTAAGCCAAGATCGACACAGTGGATCTTATTCCATCCAACGCTAAATAGAGAAGAATATCACCTTTCTCTTGTAGCATGAATCACATGCTCGGCGCCGCTGCTTCTTGGGCGCTGAGGGGCCGCGCTTGGCCCTGCGCGATATAGTGTCTTTGGGCATTTTTTACTATTAGTGCGCACAATCACCTTACAGAGAACATGATTAATCCACCAAGATCATCAAAAATCTCGAAGAGGGCAGGTTCATTACCATCGGTGTCTTTCGTTGGCGCTTATGTCTGGCCATCTTAATGGGCCAATCAACGGACCAACTAACTGGCTCTCCGCTTACTCAGCGGCGAGGGTTCTATGGCATTAACCAAGATAGGAAGGTTCTCGCTTCAGCCTCAAATCTGGAAGACGTGAAGGTAAATCAACAATTCTTGGGCAAAGAATATGAAAGCTAAGCTATAGATGGATACATATTCGCAGCCTCGTCAGCTACCACGATACAGATACAGGTCCATCAGACGTGCAGATGTCAGATGTCAAGCCGTTCACGCCTTTAGGGAAACCAAGGTCGTCAATTTGCTCTGCAAAGTCCAATGCGCCTTCGGCTGGCATTCCGTCCCTGTCTCGCGAGGCTTTCACAATTCGTGGGGGGCAAGTTTCCAATACTTTGTCGCGACGTTGTAGCCTACACAATCTCTCAGCCGTGATAGTCTCTTGAAGATACTATCGCGATATGCTCTCCCAGTGCCGTCAGCTTTTCCACTTTCTGCCGGACTTGAGAATGAAAGCCAACTGTCTTGGTAAAGTATTCTGTGCCAGCATTGAGATTACTTGCACGAGTTTCCCGGTATCAGTAATAGTAACCCTAAGCAGCACTGTCTTGGGACGAGAGAGTATAGACTCTAAACGCATCCAGGATAGAATTAAGACGATGTTAACCTTGTACCGAACGCTATAGAAACAGCCCGGCTACAGGTACTCGGACATAGTCAGACATACACGCACAGGCAAATATCTGCCTGGACTGCGAGGCAAGTTTCGACTAGTTCAGGAAGAGAATAACAGGGATCATTGACCACAGGGCAGGACACCCATGCTGGATATATGGTCACCAAATTCTTACTCTTCCAGAATTCATTCCATATAAAAGAAGTTGATGGACAGCTCGAAATGGCAAAGAATTATTTGCAGAACGGGCACAGTAGCCCATTACTCCCAAAATATATCGTAGATGTCCTACGCAGCTAAGGTAACGATGAGTGGATCCACCCAGGCTGTCATCGTTCAATGAAACCCCCCACATAGTTCAATCCGTTCTGGACTAGTCTTTTGTCAAATAGCCGGGGGTAATATGATGGTGACGGACAGCCCTGATCCGACGATGTAACCCCAGTGGGACCAATATGTCATGGCGTTATAGGCTCCGTTGAGAAGCTCGCTGTTTATATTTCTCGACGTCGCATATCATACCGCTCTTCGCCGAAGACGCGTACTGACGTCCGACATGCGATAGCGCCTCAAACTCGAATCCAACATATCAGAGGTTAGCTCGGCTATCCGGCGGCTTCGTAGGGGAATGCTGCTAGAGGTCATGATCTAAGACGGAGACGTCGAAAGCTGGCTTTCTGTAACGTAGTGACAGTCCATATGCACATCTCAACATTGATGTAGGAGGAATATGAGAACGATCACAGCAGTCTCCACATGGTCAAAGATAGGATTTGAATTCCCTCATTCGTCGCTCATCCGTCGCATGATTTTCAATATACACCATGATGTCATGCTCGTCACCACTTTTTGCAACGCAACTCTCCATATAATGTTCTTTTTTTTTTTTTTTGCTTTTTTTTTCCCGCTCAATAGACGATTCTCATTCTCATATGTCAGTTGCATTAAAAGAGGGAACAACGTATGGTGTACTGCGTATATGAGGTGAAATGAGTGCCTATGTCTTTACGTAAACTATGTGGGTCTGACAAGGTCCACGCAGCAAAATATATCTATCAACCCAACAGCTGGTACCTCGGAGTTTTTCAAGAGTACCCTCTCGCTGCAGTAAAATGGACAAAGTACCTGAGCGCCTTTCAAAAGAATATAGTAATAGATGGATGTAATACTTCAATTAATCTCTTGTGATAACCAGAGTCAACTGGGAATCGTAAAAAAATGCGGAATCCCCACACCAAGGTACGCGGTCAAGATAGCATGGGATAGTTACCCCCAAACCATAAAACATGGCAGAGGTCGGTGTCTGCAGTAATACATTATCTACGGATGCGCTGAGACTTCGAGGATAATTACTCCAGTCGCGACGAGCTCCCTTCTGCAGTATCCCTATCTGCAGATATCCAGGAGGATAACGGCTTCAAGAGCCATGTAATTTGATTCCTTTCGACTTTTTTTGTTCGCGATGGTTTTTGTTATACTGACATGGGTGGATGGAACCTCATCATACCCTGTATATCCTTGGAAACCGAAAAGAATGGCCCAGGAAGCGCCTCTCTGGCCTGAACGAAGAAGGCAGGCCAGTTGGGGGCAACCACCCGGGGAGGTAAGACCCTCTAGCCCGTTGGAGACCAAGCCACCAAGACTACCACAGAGGCCATTCTGTATCTGAAAGCCAAAGGGGGGACATCGCGAGCGCGACGACACCGACCAAGCTTCCACACGTGGAGGGGCTCCAGGACATATATCACACAAGCATTTCACGCGGGCAACGGGTCTAGGGGGCAATCGAAAATAACCAGTAAAGGGGAGGAAATGAGATTCATCGAGGGTTCGCGACCGAGTCCTGTTGTTCCCCTGGATCCGGCACCGTCGCGGGTATATCATTCAAACAATCGACCGCGATGCGAGTTATTTCCGATAGCGAGGCGCCCTTGCGGATGTCAGTGATCATGTGGGCCACGTCCGACTCGGTGCCGAGCTGGATGGCGCGCAGCAGATTCTCCAGGGCGCTGCGATAAAACTTCAGGTTCCGCTCCGTCGCCTCGGCGGAGATCTTGCGGCGTTTGTCGTTGCATTCATCGTAGATACATTCCCGTCGATTGAGCAGACAGGGTTCGCATGGACGACCAGGGCCACACTAGAAGACGATAAGATAAGAGGTTAGTGATGGGGATCAGGGGCCACACTAGGGCTGACAATATGGAACCTTGGATAAAGCTTGCTTTTATACGTCTCGTTGGCACTCCAGGCAGGCTAATGAGGCTCGTTTTCGTTTGTTCTGCTCGGCAGGGCGATGATCATCCGGTATGGGCGGCAGTTCCTCCTTCGGTGCGAGACGCCTTTGATAATGCCGTCCAGTCATTAATCACTAAGTGGGGATCCGAACGGGTCGAGAAACGATAATCAAGGTCAGATCAAGAAGAAGGAAAAGGAAAGTGGGTTGTTTTGGTCCGGGAGACGCGTCGGAACGGTGGCACTATATAATCAGAAATAATTAGGGAGGGTTAACCGTGGAGATTGAGAGGACGGTTTATCAAGAGCTTAAATTAAATTAATAAGAACACCCGGCCAAGTCGTAGCCGAGATTTATGCAAGGGAGCCAACATTTCTCCCCTCTGATTGCCTCCGAGATTTCGGCCGAAGCTTAAGGGATGATCGACAGTTTATATATTTCCCCGAAAGGTTAGTTTAGTCAGAATCCACTCTGAGAAGCTCTGCTGGTCAATCCAAACATGCTCGGTTGCATCGTGAACACGCACACCCGCCATGACAAGACCCCTACGAATGAACATACCGTCCCCCTCGTTTGACGAATCTCACATCCTGATGCACATTTCCCTCGCATCTTACTCACACAGGCCCTGACGATCCGTCCAGCACGGCGGCCCCTCGCGACATGACGCGACTCGCCACCTGGTGGGTGCACGATAGTTGGGTTGCGACAAACTTACCAATGCGACCTCAGTGTCTAGGGCAGCTTCGAAACGCGTTACTTGAAGACCCATTCTAAGCCGGTTCCCCTGTCTCGCGACTCTTACCGTGGGTACTGCGTACTACCTGAGGCGCCGCCAACTTTAATGGTCAATCAAATCGAGGAACTCGAACATGGTAAGAATGATGTATAATCTGCACCAGGGCGATCCTGGCCTGTTTCTTTGATACAATTGGTTGCTGCTATCTGGATTCCCCCATAGTTTTACCCAGTCCTTGCTGTCCAGGTCCGTGCATTTTGGGAGGCCACCTTCAGGGAGGGTGGAGTGGCCAACATTTCATCATGAAGTCATAACAATTACTAATCTGCATCAGTTAACTACCCTCAAAGCGCAAAGCTAAGCGACATCGAATTCTAAATACATCACGGCGGCTGGCGATTGCTAACAAAACACAGCGCGGGTCATAACAGAGCTCCCTCTTTCGATATACTCCAAGAAAAACGTCGACATCAAGCGGTCTAATCACGTCATCTTCGACCTGGTCACCACGTCTCATGAGGTGTATCATATATGGGAATTCTAGTAATATGCGTCTGGTTTGGATGGTTAGGGTACGGGGGAGGCATGTGACGTAGCCACATAGCCTCAGGCTCGACATCTACGTTCTCTCACACCGTAGTCTCATGGTCCTCGCCGATAGTCGTCGGGTTAGTACTCAGGTTCGAAGCGTGAGACGCCCTCCGTTTCTCCACAACGCTCGGCTCCGTATCCGGAAAGACATATTTGGAGCTTTGCCATGGCTTCACCTTCATCACATACATCGTATCGATCTCTTCCAGCGTGCGACCTTTTCCTTCCATGACGGCGAAATAGACGAGAGCTGCAGCAAGGAAGAGACAGCCCGCAAAGACGTAGCCGAACTGGAAGTCGATCGCACTCGTGATGAACGGCGTGAAGAATGCCAGAAGGAAGTTCCAGAGCCAGTTCGACGCCGTCGCAAGAGACATCGCACGCGCCCGAAACTCCGACGGATATAGCTCAGCAATAATCGTCCACACCATGGGGCCCCAAGTACTGGCGAATCCCAGAATAAAGAGACAGGCGAACACGACCATGACCACGCCCGGGCCCTTGGTAGACGGCGGGTCATCCCGATTCAGGGAGAAATGGCCCACGGAGGCGAAGACGATGAAGCAGCAGAACATCCAGAGCGCCCCAGCGATCAATGAGCGACGACGGCCGTAGTTCTCGATGAGATACAGTCCCAGGAATGTGGACCCGAAATTCACACCGCCCAGGATCATCTGCGTCACGTAGCTGTTTTCGATTCCGGCGCCCTGGAAGATGGTCGTGCCGTAGTAGAAGAAGTAATTGGCACCCGTAAGCTGCTGCAGTGCTTGCAGGGCGACCCCGACAGCAACGCGGTATGACATGCGAGGGGCCTTAAATAGTTGGATCCAAGACACTTGCCGCGTTGCACCTCCTCTTCATACTTTGCCTTGATCTCGTCTAACTCAATCTGCAGGGCGCGATGGTTCTTCGGAATACCATACATCTTGGCCAGCGTCGAGATGGCCCGATCCACCTTGCCCTTTCGATAGTCATAACGCGGACTTTCCGGAAACATCGCTATCCCGAACCCGAGAATAATAGCCCAAATATACGTCACCCCCATCGGAATTCGCCAGGAGGCTGTAGAGGTTTTCTTCTCAGTCCCGAAATTGATACAGTTGGCAACGAAGATGCCAAGAGTGATAAACAACTGGTATGTACTGCGTCTGGGTCAGAATCTAGCGCACATCATACGTTCTGGGGGTATGCCCACCTGACTAAGGATCCTCGAATATGTCTGGGGCCCGTCTCGGCTTGATACATCGGGACCAGCAGCGACAAGGCTCCCACACCCAGACCGGCCACCCATCGACCTATTGCAACCTGATACCACTTCCCCGCGGGGGAAGAGATCTGGACTGTAACGCCGGCGCAGAGGATCACACACCAGCCACTCACACACCATTTGCGACCAACCCGATCCGCAATTGGCGCGGCCACTAACGCACCCATTAAGGTGCCAATTGAGAGCTATCGTAGGCTTAGCAAGGTGGCTGATCTAGAACGAGGGAAGGACTGTCATACCAGAGCAACGATGAGGCCCGATCGAACGTTTGAGAAGTAATATGTACCGTCCGCCCTTTGCTGCCCGTATCGTTCGAGGAAGTTATGCATCTCCAGAAATCCGGAGATCTGACCAGTATCATAACCGAACAGAAACCCACCCATTGAGATGACTACACACATGCTAAATGACCGAAAGGTCAGCCAAGGGACTTTGGTGTCGACCAAGCCATCATCCCCGTCGCGGAGGACGCCATCCGGCGGTCTTGAGTCGACTTCATCTTTGAACGGTCGATCTGCATTTGCGCGAGGTATTTTCAGCTTGGGAAGCCCCATTTTCTAGTTCATAAAAATATATACTAAATGTATGGGTCAATTGAATCCATGAATGAAGTCTCCTCTCAGTATAGGAGGATATAAACGGACGATGTAACGCACGTTTTATACGTTGAAAAGCCGAGACGGTTCAAGTTCCCCCGATGAGGTCATCACCCATAGTAAAATCCTGTATAGCGTCGTACATCGTGTAATTACCATGAATTCCATTGTGCGAGCACCCTGAGGTTCAAAAACGGTTGTGTCTACTAACCAGAAGCGAGTTGATGTGAACCCCAGATAACCCCGGATCGTCGGTACCACGGAAAAAAAAGTCCACCGTCCCAGTAATTGACGTGAACATGTTCAGGTGACCGAGGATATAGAGTTTCTGGACGCTGGAACTGGCCATCAAGTGCGGGTGGTTCCAATCATGACGGTTTGCCATCCATGGAACCAGCCGTTCTCGACGACCCTTCAGCCTTCACGATTCGGCCACCGCGGGCTTGGCCTACGTCTAGATTACAGCATGGGTGCCACCAAGATAGCTTACCTTCATAAAGGTTCCTACCATGTCTTCGCTTCGAGGTGTAATCGAAACCATAGAAACGCATTCTGCCCTGCTGACCGTTGTCCAAACGCGGGCGTAGTTTGCCACCGAATAAGTACGGCAGGGTGGCCCCCGGGAAATATGCACTTTTGCTTATAACAATTCTCGGTATTCCGTGTCTATGATGGGAAGGTACTAGCGTCTTTGCATTCCGGAATATTCTAGGTTCATTGGATCCGAGCTTAAGATGTAAATAGCACGAAACATGCATCATCGAGCGTCAGGGATCGCCGAAGTCGACTATTAATATGTCAGTCCATTCCAATCCATGACTCATTTCCTGACCTTACATCTTACTGGGTACCTTAAGGCACAAGCTATTGAGAATTAATACCCGTTTGAAACCTTTTACTGTGTTTCCATGACATCGACATTCTTCGCTGTAGATATTAGATAAGCTCATACCAATTGCTCGAAATTGTATTACAGTGCAACATAATCGTTCATGTATTGAGACAGATCGTTCTGTGATTGTTCAATTAAGGATTGGCTATGTCATTCATTATCACATGGTGGTCTAAGAGCAAATATGCTGAAAGGAAAGTAAAAGCAGTAATAGGGTAACACATTAAAGGGAGAGACATCAACAAGTATATATGAGTAGTAAAAGAAGAGCCAACATTCCATAAGTTAAATATAGTGATATGCGAAGCGTAACCCGAAGGGTGAAGAAGGAAAGTAATAGGGTTGTTCAAAGATTAGCGCTGTGTTTAGCTCATTGGTGACCTTGGACAGCCTGAAAGCTATCTAGCTCCCAGTAGTTCCTTTAAAGGCGGTGGCAGGTACCAGAGATCTGGGTCTGGGGAGGACCGACATCAACAGTCTGGACACCGCTGACAGTGGTAACGCTGTGGTCAATGCCGTTGAAGGTGCATGAAACACCGGGTGCGTGAGACTCAATGTGAGAGATGCTGAGCCGGTTCGCTGCGATTGTTGTCAGTCACCACCAACCACTAGGCATTAGGTCGGATATACGTACAGATCTGAGTCGCAACTCCGTTGGTCGGGAAGACCTGGGTGAACTGAGCATCTGCTGCGCCAACAAATGTGATAACCACATCCTGGCCAGATGACCGAGGCTCGGACTGACCGGGGGGAACTGAGCCAACAGCGCATGCACCCGAGGTCTGGGTCTGGGGAGGCCCAACGTCTACAGTCTCTGCATCAGAAACAACAGTGACGCTGTTGTCAATACCATTGAAAACGCATGAGACACCGTCGGTGCTGGAGGCAATGTGGGAGATGCTCAGAGGGTTGGCTGGGATGGTCAGAGCTACTTCACAAGCTTCAAGGGTACTCAGTCATGTCAACTTACTGATGGCGACGCTGCTTCCATCTGTTGGGAAGTCCTGAGTAAACTGGGCATCGGCCGCACCGATAAAGGTGATGGGGACAGAGCCTTGGGTTCGAGGAATGCTGGCGCCGTTGACACCGGCAACAAGTGCAGCGACGAGGGTAGAGGTCGAAGAAAGCTTCATCTTGAAAGTTTTGTTTGTGAGATAGATGGTCTTTGTTTGATTGTGTATTGAAGGAGTCGTGGTGAAGATGCTTGATTTTAATCTGAGAATGAGAATTGAAGCAGGGATCATGAAGGTTTATATAGACATCCCAAGGCAAGGAATCGATACGGGACTGCAGGCAATCCAGCCATGTCTACAGAAGGCCTGGAAGTAGCCTCAACCTTACTATTGCCAGAACACATCACAAATACGAAGCCATCCGTGGATAGAATGAGACATAGCCATACATATTGTCTCCTGATTGACCAAAGTACTAGGCGTTGCCGGCCCGACAGCTACGAGCCAAATTGTTATTGGCATACGGCTGTCATCTGAGCAGCTCACTGCCCCAGCATGATGGATATCAGATCCGAAACGGCTTGTAGAAGAACAGTCTACGCCTACACTGGCCAATAGAAGCTCGAACGGGTTGCCCGAGTACATGGTTGGCCTTATTCTGTGCCACCTGTCTAGGCTTGACAGTATGCTAAATATATCACACGTTCATAGCCCTACTGCCGCTTTTGGCGAATTCACGGACTTCAACTGCGGAAAACCATGGATCACCTCCGTGATACCTCTTCGGATGCACCCAACATGTCCAATCACCTGAGCTCTACAATACTATTATCTGCAAAAGGAGACAAGATACCTAGTTCTGGTAAGACCACACATCGGCGTAGACCGTCTAGATTCAATGGAAGTGACGCTCCTATGCGAAGAACCGGTAATTCATTCACGGCCAGCCTGACCCAAAGCATCACTTTTCTTCCCTGTCATTTTCTGTTAGTAAAATAGGTGAGTCTCGATATTGCATTGTATGACTGCAGGTTTTGGATGTTAAGATATGTTCGTACCTGTATATGAGCGCTGGCGGTTTGACTTAAAACTCCCGCTATGTGACTTAAAATGGAAAGACAATACTTGAGTTTGGTAGTGATCCATTGCATGATATTCTAAACATGCGCCATTTCTGGGCAGTAAAGATAATTCATAAACCTATGGGCTTATGGACTAAAATTCTCGGAACCGTCGGATATCATCATGTCAGCGATCTACACGGAAGTGGCGGATTGGAAGACCGTTGGAACCCCGGGTTTTCACTGCCTGCCTGTCTTACGCTAGTCCAGACGATAAGCCTCAAGTGAACACCGGTCATTGTGGTGTAGATGGCCAGACAGTATTTTGCTTTTGTCCGATTTTCATACCTACCCAAGGCCGACAAGGTATCAATATTCCTGCCGGTCATTGTACTGTTTTTGCAAAGTCCAACGGCGGCTTTCTATCAATTGGTCTATATCCTCTCGGGGAATATGCATATGTAAGTGGGCCCAACGCTTCCACGCCATACGGGGTATGATGTTAAGAGAGAGAACGTGGGCTTGGGAAGTCACCGAACTTTTTATTCGGTGCTCGACACAGCCCGCATGCGCATTCGCATGTATTGCTTAATATCCGACAAGCCCACATGAATACGAGTGGATACTTTTCGCCTTTCCTGTTACAGTAGTACTGAAGATACGTGGACGCCTCAGACTACCAGTAGGCCTGGTGCTCGGGTCGCCAATTCCCCGCATCCAACACGAGCCAACTCAGCATATATGCATGTCAGTTCCCGAGTGGAATGTGTCTCCAGTACGTTAAATTCACGTTACCTACTAAATTCTGACGTTGAGGTCCTTTTTGTCCGAGCCCTATCGAGAGCCGCATGCATGCACCTCGCCTCGCGTTCCTTCAGCCTCCTGCACAGCCTGGGTTCCCTGTCTGCCTACGTGGAAGACTATTTCCGACCCTCCATGAACCGTCTCAGTTAGTAGCGGTGTAGCGGAATTTCAGTCGTTTCCTCATCTAAATCTCTTGATTCTCACCTATACTTCACTTTTTATCTCTAGCTTCATTTCTCTCCCTCTTGCGCATATTCCGGCCCAACAATTACAAGTCAGCATATATGCATGTCATATTAATAAAACCTTTACCTCAATCGCTGATGTAAATATAAGCTCAAAATGCCCCCAGACGATATAGTACGTCAATATCGTCGCCCCACACAAGGATATAATGTGAGTCCTAGTCAAACGTCCTGCTAGTAGAACATTACCCGATGGCGCTCATAGCTATGACACTTACTACTTCGATATAATGTTTAATCAAGACAAGCTCGAGGTTAATGAAGCATTTCTTGTTACGGATGACTTTGTGCCGTGGGCTCGTGAAGCCGTGAAGCCTCAAACAGCAGGGCATCGATGATTGGTACCCATGTCCTAGGGAGCGCTTCAAGCCCGCACCTCTCAACAGTACGTGAGAAGTACTCGACCTACGAGATATCTGGCCCTATCAATATTATTCCTGAAGCCAGCGCAAGTGGAAAGAGTCTAAACTTGGACGGAGTTCCTGTCAAAGGGGGTTCGACGATGTCGATACTCCGGAGTAGGTTCTTAAGGATAAACACGCTGTTGAGATGGATCTGCCCCCGACGGTTCACAATTTGCCGATAATGCAGAAAATTCGATCCCTTGGCTCATATGCCTTAAGCTACCCCCTGTCAGTAAGACTTGGCATCGCATCTTTGGACGGGCCTCAAACCGGAACCAATCTTCGGTTGTGGGTTTTGTGAGGAACCACCCACAGAACTTGTCATGTACCCAGATTGAGTTCAGTCAACCAGGGAGAATTAGTTGCACATCATAGATGAAAACGGTAGGCTGGGGAACAGCAGGCTTTTGGTTTTGCTTCATCACTGGGAGTCGAGTTTCCGTGTTCTGGTAGAGTCGTGACATAATCGAAGTTCCGCGATGAAATCCCAATGTAACCGCGGAGTGCTACCAGTGCCCATGCATCTCTACAACTTATCTCGAGCTACGACGCTATATCGAGTCGAATATACGAAACCGGTGATACATCTCGTGCAAATCTAATAGAAAATCCTGTATCACCAAGTGTTTCAGCCCGCGCCAAAATATATCTCAACGTATCCGTCCAAAGTCGTATGCTTATCGGAATATTCAATACGACCCACTGGACGTTCCCGGCCGTAAGAGACCAGCGATGTTTTTATATATTAGAACGCGTATAACAACATGGACTGCTTCGGATCCCTTCTATCATCTCCACCACAAGTTCGACGCTGCTGGGACCGTCACCAGCCATGATGTTCACCTGCAACTGGACAGCGCTTTTGTGCACCCTACTCTCCATCCTTTCTGTCTGTATAGCAGATGTACCTGAGACAAGCCATGATGTGATCATCATTGGTGGTGGCCCTTCTGGCCTCAGCGCAGCGAGTGGCCTGTCGCGCGTCCTGCGGAAGTCGGTCCTCTTTGACTCTGGCGAGTACCGTAACAACCCTACCAGACACATGCATGATGTTATCGGAAATGACCGTAAGTATATCCCTTTTTATACAACGATCTAGTGTACTGAGTTTGTATTAGATGTCGTGCCCGCCGAATTTCGGAAGACCGCCCGCGAGCAAATCGCCTTTTACAACTCGACAACGTTTATCGATGAAAAGGTGACGAAGCTCGAAAAGGTCGGAGATAACATTTTCCAAGCCACTTTCGGTGACCAGCAATTTACAGCTCGCAAGGTCATCCTGGCCAGCGGAATGAAAGACAATCTGCCCGATGTGCCGGGCCTCGAGGACGGCTTCGGAAAAGGTATCTACTGGTGTCCGTGGTGTGATGGGTTCGAGCATCGGAACCAGTCCATGGGAGTTCTTGGAAATTTGTCCGACGCATACGGTGCTGTCAGAGAACTGCACCCGACCCTGAACAAGGATATCAGAATCTACGCGAACGGAACCAACACTACAGAGCAGATCGCCATCCTGGATGAGAAACACCCGAACTGGAGAAAGGTTTTCCAGACGTATAATGTCACAGTCAATAACAAGCCCATTTTGAACATCACCCGTATTCAGGATGGGGGCGTTGTGTACGATCCCGCGACCCGTCGGGAGTTCGACAAATTCCAAATCTACTTCGTTGATAACAGCTTTGAAGTGCGTGGTGCGTTCCTCACGAACTATGATACGTCGCAGAGGTCCGACCTGCCGGCCCAGCTGGGCGTGGAAATGCTGGGGTCTAAGATGAATACCCTGCGCAAGGGCTTGCGAACTAGCGTCCCTGGAGTCTGGGGTGTTGGCGACGCCAATAGCGATAATAGCACCAATGTCCCCCATGCCATGTCTAGCGGCAAATCAGCGGCTGTCTATTGTCATGGTAAGCCCCATGTGTCTCTTCCCTTTTGTTGTACGACCTACTTACCGTTTTCAGTTGAAATGGCTCAAGAGGAACTCGACCGTGACGCCGGATTGGAGAAGAGAGAAACCGAGTTTGATGAGGCTTCCTTCCATGAGGCTACTGAACAACAGATGGGCAGTGAGATCCATGACCTGTACAAGAGACTCAGCCGTCGTTAAGCTTTAGAGCACCCATCTCGCGGCAGCTCCCTTATACGGTATACTCGCACATAATACTATGGTGTGCATTTCGGAAAGTATATGGGATAATGATCTAATATCGCGAGAGTCAGAGGAGATAATACATATATAATATTTAATTGTTTAATAATCGTGGAACACAATACGCCTTTCGACCGAGACACGGAATTCATGCTAGGTTATAGAAGTTGATCTCTCACCGACCGCTTCAATTCCAGGAAGATAGACACTGGCCCAAGAATGCAATGTTGCTTTGATAGTGGAGGCTGGATTAGTGTGCCTCGACTTCAGCCGGATACTTAATCCCATGCTCCTCCCGTACCTTATCCATGACTTCCATAATCAGCAGCGTCTCTTCCAGTGGCATCAGGTCTGACTCGGTCTTCCCCTCAACCAAGTATTGAGCACAGGCATCTGCCTCCCAGAACAATCCGTGTCCAACTGGAATTTCAAAATCCTTCCTCTCCACTATCTCCGGACCTTGTTCCCCATATGCAATGCGCGCAATGCTCAACGGCCGTGCAGCAGGTCCAAAGACCTGTATCTGGCCTTTATCCCCTAAGATGCGCACCCCAGGGTCGGTTGGGTCCGAAGTGACCCGAAGGCTGGCCGTCGCCACACCCTGCGTTCGACTCCCAGGAAAGGTGACAATAACAGAGCGGTCTCATCTACTCCCGTTGGAGTGTATTTGACCACCGAGCTAGAGACATTTGGTGGTGACCTGACAGTAGCAGAGGCTAGTGGACCATCATGATACAGGATCTGAAAGATCCACGTCAGGGGATATATAGCCACTAGAGTAGAAAACGTGAGTATGGTGTCCTTTAAACCGCTTATTTCGGCCGATATTTGCATATAAATTGATGCTACTCACAATCGAGCAAAGCTCCACCCGCCAGTGTAGGATTCACTAATCGATGCTCCGCCCCGTAGAGCTTCTCGACATCCCTCCCTAAATTTCGATCCGCAACTACTCGCTGCACAGCTCCAATGGCTCCATCTTTGATGAGCTGTCTGACATAGTGCATGAGTGGGAAGAAACGCGTCCACATTGCCTCCATGAGGAACAGATTCTTCTCACGAGCGAGCTGAATGAGACTACGCGCCTGAGCTGCATTAACCGTGAAGGCCTTCTCAAGTAAGACGTGCTTTCCCGCGAGTAAAGCGGCACGGGCATTCTGGAAATGGTGCGAGTGTGGCGTGGAGATATAGACAATTTGAACATTGGGGTCTGCGAGGAGGGACTCGTAGGATCCGTAAGCGGCTGTTTCTGGTGGAGCATCTACGGCAGACAGGAAGTGCTGGGCTTTTGGCAATGAGGTTGAGGATGCGACGGCGGTTAGGTTGTGGGTGACATTGTGGACGCCTCTTGTTGATGGGTTGATGAGGAGGTCTTTGGCAAATTCTGGACAATGGGCTTGGTCAGCGTATATGTTAATTGAAGTTGGACTATGATGGATGACGAACTTGTAGCGTTATCGCCAGTTGCTTGTTGGTCGCGCTAGGGTTAGCGGTGCTTGAGTACTAAAGGATATCTGTTGGAAAAGACCTACATATGATTCCCCAGTTCACCATGTTGCTCATTTGGGGTATTGCAGAAGGTCAAAAGAATCTTCACCGGGATTAGGTGTACTTATCAGTCCCAATGAGACATTGAGGGGTCAATTAATTAATTGGTCTAATCTTAGCGCATCACGTCATTCCTCACGATAGTGGCATTTGGGATTTCTGTTCTTGAACTATTGAGATTATGCCATCAGTAGTCTGAAAGGGGTATGAGGTACATATACCCCCACTGTAGGTCATGGAATTGAAAGCTCCCGTTCTTGCTTGCTCTGTACCTCCAACACGGTGTGGTCTTTCACAAGGCAGAGAGCAGCAATTCGAACACATACTAAACCATGATAGTCTACAAAAAGGTAACTCTGAGCCTCTTACAACGATATGGCCACCGATCCGCTGGACCGAATACTTTATTACGTTAGACCACATATCCTTGTTCGATGTTTCCGCGGACGCGTCGCTGACGGGCATGTAGAGCAGCTACATCGCAAGAACAGGCATGAGGTGTAACATTTAGGTCTCCCTTGGGAGTGAACAAGGCCTCTCGTGTTTATCTGTTTCTAATGTGACGTTTCTAAGTGGTACATGATTTGTATTCCAGACTCATACATAGCCTTACAGTAGTAGGGTCAAGAATCGAGAACGGGAGTATTTCAATCCGAATTCAGCCACGGATCATCCAATAGCTCTTTCGCTGTCTTTCTCTCCTCAGGGACCCACTGAAGCATTGATCGCATGAATTGGAGAAATTGCTGTTTATCTTGGCCACTGAGATTGTCTTCCGATTCCTCCATCGAGATTGACGGTATGGAGACACCACCTGCACCCAGCCAATTACCTATATGGCTGTTAGCTTCACTCACGCATTGGAAGACAAAACCGACCATTCTGGTCAAACACATTGCGTGTCTCTTCACTTCGCTGGAGAAAGTGAAGTGGTGGCAGACCAAGGTAGGCCACCATTTCGGCAACGTGATGGTATGGAGAATACTCTCTGTCTTCGTCAAGTGCATTAAATAAATGTTTATTTTCAAAAATATCCCAAATCTGAACTTGTCAGAGAGAACGGCCCTCATGGTAGCAGGACTCAACTTACCATGGCGCTGACATTCCATATATCAGCGCTATAGGTCCATGGCATGTCAAAAAGCACTTCAGGGGCCTTATATATATCGGGCTGAATATTCCCTTCATGAGAGCTTCCGATCCTAGCCTCCCCAAGATCACATAAGACTGGCTGACCCCATAAATCATTCTGCGGCAGTGAAAGCTCCCGAGAGGTGTATATAATGTGATTATCCACAACCTTTCGCCAACTTGGATGTTCCTGCTCCTCCTTTTCGAAGTCTTTAAGTATCGTTTCATCTTCAATGCTAAGCATGATGTTCGAGGCCTTGATATCTATGGTGTTGTTAACATATGCATAGGAACCACCAACACCGGAGGATCTTACCAGAATGAACGATATTTGCCTCACTGTGAAGAAAGTCAAGAGCTTGAAGAAGGCAAATCAAGGTTTGCTTAAGTAGAGGTTCGCTCAATCTACAAGACCTAGCTCTCATTCGTAACGTATTGATCGACATATGCATTGGTGGGTGTACCAAACACGGATAGACTCCTCCTGGATTAGAAACCTCGAAGGTATCATATAGTCCACGAATATAGGCACTTCCAACATGAGATGAATTCAATCTGCTTAGGTGTTCGTAAACTCCTAGCTCTCTAGACGAGGCTGGCTCCGCATGGGCGGAAGTTCTGGTAAGTACTTTAACAGCGACATACTTATTACTACTACATGGGAATAAGCTAAATACTGAACATTTTCGCATGGGGAGAGTTTGTACCTTTTGTCACGACACAGCCACACAGTGGAATAAGACCCATACCCAAGTTTTCCTAAAACCTTATATCTTGAGTGAAGGACCTCGCCTATATGGACAGGATAGAATTGTTCCGGTTTGTAGAAAGGAAGTCTCTCCTCCTCTATAAGAGGTGTGGTGCCAGTCTGAGCAGGTTGGGTGCTCATGGGTCGCCAGTATCTGGAGGCTGGTAGCTGGGAAATACAATGCTTCAACCTGGTAAGGGTTGTACCACACCTCGTCATTACAAGGAGTGCTTAAGAGGTCGAATACGCGCAAAGAGCTGTAAGATAATTAGATATGATTTAATGTAGTGGGGCGAAGAGAATACAAGACCGTATTGTAAAGATTGAGCAATTGAGCAATGTCTCGTATAGGTGAGAGCTGAGAGATATGAGGAGTATTCAAGTGGAAGTCTAGAAATAATTCACTGTCAGAACAGGACTTTCAGTTACTATGAAGCCTGAGGGATAGCCCGGATAGGATATATGACCGTACGTGAATCGCCCTTGGTTCGAAACCCCTGAGATGACCGTCACTGACCCGTGTCGTATCACGTGGGCCGTGGCATGCATGGTCACCTTTGAAGAATTCTAAATTGCTGGTTCAGGCTCTTTTTTCATGGCGCCTCTAAAATGTTGTCGTATCTCTGGCGATTTTACCCCACAGCCCTGGCTGTATTGCGATACGTTGGTCATCTCAGCTATCGCGTATTTGGCCTCTTGTCTCGTATACTCCCGCCATTTATCAGATATCATCCGTTTAAACTGGAAAGGCTTGACGATTTTGAGACTACTGAGAACTGCGACATATACACCATACGGCTGCACCCTCAACGTGACTTGGAAGTAATAGGAGTTGGAGCTTCTGCTCAAATCTGCGAAGTTTATAGCCAGATAGCTCTCAAGACTTATTGGCTATTTGAACACCCTGGGAGTAGTGCCCCTGACAGCGATCCATGACACTACGCCTCAGACACCCTATTTCAGTACAACTTGTTACAGAACGAACGAACTGTACTAAAACTGCTTCAACAACGGCCACACCCTCATATTATAGAAGCCATCGATGCTGAACAACCTGAGGGAATTTATCTCCGCAGATACTCCTCGCTATCTGCGGATAGAATTCCCGTCCAGCTTCATCGGATTCGCTGGTACCCTGATCTCACCGACGCACTTTGTCATATCCATAGCCTTGGAATAGTCTATGGAGATGTACGGATTGACAATGTCCTCTGTGACGAACACGACCGTGCTATTCTTTGCGATTTTAGTGCCGCCAGCCCTCTTGGTCAACCAAATCCCATTTTCCCAGATCTTCCGCTTCCGATAAACGGTCCATCGCCGACTTTATCTGAGGCAACGGATATGTTTGCAATGGGGTCGCTTATTTTTCAGGTGGAGCACGGAGCCAAGCCTGAGCTGTCTGTTGACAGTCATGGTACATTGATTCTGCCCAAAATACGAACCAATCATCAAGGCCTTGATAATATCATTCGAAAAACTTGGCTCGGGCAGTATAGCCGCACCTCAAAGATGCTAGAACATCTTGATTCGATTGATACTGACGGTGCTCGATGTGCCCACGGCATCCTAATGTGTCCGGGATCAACGGAATCGTTGAGAGATAGGATCAGAAAATGGAAGGAGTGCTGTGAGAATAAGTTTGGTAAGGTTATCTATTATATGATATCTACCCTCTTTCTGGCTAACAGGATCTCTAGGTTGTGTTCTTGATGGTATACTCTCAGAAGCTCAATTACAGCGCCTAGCTGACTGCTATGGTTTGGACAAAGATGCGGATCTTCGTTTCACTGCTTATCAGGCACATTTGCAGTTAAGCGAATGTATAAGCCAGAGCGCTAATAGCATGACAAGGCCCACAATATGAGAATGACCCGAATACGACTCTTCCTCCTCTTCTTGCTTTCCGAAGTTGATAATGGTGATAGATTTTCTGGCGCAATGGGAAAATAGCACCGCTCACAGTGCAAGAAAAACCAGCGCTATAGCAGTTCTACAATCTGGAAATTACCATCATCCGTATGGTTGGCTGTTCGATAACGTACTTCACAAATAAGTAAATAGTATTTGGACCATAGTACTTCGGAAGGCCTGGCCATTACTCTTTTTCTGCCGGAACTTCAAACCACATAATAGCAAGTTTGATGTTGTTTACTTCGCTTTGACCTCTGAGTCAGGATACGTAAATGCGCGCAAGGAAACCAACAGTGGTGTTAATTACCACTAATGCACGAGATATCACAGGTGATGGCTCTCGGTACTACATACATCGAGACTCGAGCTGGAAAATAGCCAATAGAGCTGAGATGCCACGCAACTTCCCCCAGTCGCAACTAATATATTATTGGCCTAGAGGAAGCCTCCACCAGAGGTTAGCTACGCAAGGGATATTTAGCTTCCGGATTTATTCAATTTGTCTGACGCCGGGTCCAGTTATTGGAAGTCAATTTCTGCATCTCGAGCCAATGTCTTGTGTTAATTCGGTCAGTTTAATCTTCTCTGTTATAGCAATGAAAAATATCATCGCTGCACAGACCTTATCAGCCTCGAAGGACTAGATAGAGAGGTTTGAAACGATGTCTGCGCATATTGCGGCATTCCTGACGCAGCCGCCATCGCGTGCCAGGAGAGAGTACACAGCAAAGTTCACGTGCTCAAAATGCAAGCAGACTCACAAGAACGACAGACATTAGATACCCAAGGGCCAGATCTTTGATGGATTATAAGACCAATCTATAGACTTATCTTTGGACTGGTAAGGGGGAACGGATGATAGTAGCAAAAGTACAAAACACCGGATATCGACAATTACCAAAACATTGCATAAGAAAGTCATTCAGTAGTACTGTTCAATCTATGGTAAAATAAATGACAATTTAATTTGATGCGGAAAAGATACGGTAAGCAGTGGTGAAGAAAAACTACGATTATCTGATACAGATATTTTCTTTCTTGTGATGATCAGAGTAAACATTGCCAGACCCAAGGCACTAATGATAGTCGTAATGAGTCAGTCTCTCACTGAGTCCTTCATAAAGCCCAGGAGGGAATAGTACTTGATTTCGGCATATGAGATCAAGGGAGTGGACTGACAGAATTCAACGCTTGTAGGAGACTGTGGGCATTGGGGAATTCTCCGTTCCAGCATCCTTCAAAGATCCAACCTAGCCAGATATCTTGTGTACTTGGTAAGAACTTCCTCTCAGGAAAATAAGCCCGACCGTCGGTGGGAGAGTTATCTTTGTAGAGATCAATCTCACACTTGTTACCAGTCGCAACTTCATACATGACTGCACCAAGTAGACCAATATCAATTCTTGTAGTGTATCCATTGTCATCGACAGCATCCATATTAAAATCCAATGGGAGGAGAGATGCCTCCGAGAAATCGCAAATTTTGAGGCATAAATCGGAATCAAGAAGGAAATTGCGGCTAGCGATGTCTGCAACAAGTACGCGCCTGTCATGAATATAACTAAGTGTCCGAGCCATCTCCTGGAACCATTTGAGCTGGAGCTCACGAGAAGGGCGGCATGTCGCAAGGTAAGTGCGAAGATCTCCATTGGCCATATATGTGAGATGCGTGGCTTCATTTGCGAATTGAATGCAACGGACAATACCATCAGCTCGGTTATCTCCAGTATCTTGCAAGCGATGATATACATCTTGCTCACGCCTGAGGCTTTCAATGTTTGCTTTCACGTCCTAGTCTGAGCTCCAAAGATATCTTAAGGGGGTTTTGACAGCTAAGCCATTTTGAAGCAGAACTACCGCAGACCCACCACTCCCGAGAACTTGTTCGAGAGAGATTGGATCTCCTTGGACAGTGAGGAATGGGGAAGACATCGTTAATGGAAGGAAAGCTAGTCGGTTTGAATTCATCATCAGTTAAAAGGGCGTGGTCGGCGCGGACGCTTAAATCCAGTGACAAACAAGGCAAACATGTATACTAGTTGATGTGCATACTAGAACTATAATGATCATAACATATCTAAGTATTTGACTGGATCACGCTTGGATATGTTCCATGATGTCTAATCACTCTGGTTGTAGTTCTCAAAGATATAGGGCATTAGCCCAGACTGCCTCAAGTGGTAGGACCATGATACATAACCGTATAGTGGCTTTTACATTCAACGGACCGTAAATCAGGTTTCTGTCCGCCAACTTTGGCAGCAGTTCAATTACTGATTCCCTCGATATATCTGTCGTGATTATACTGTTATATGTGTAGAGTTCCCAGAATTTAGTAAAATTGGCTCTCATACAGTATTAGTAAACGGTTGTTCGACAACAATCAGGATTCCAGAAAGCTCACCCCTTAGAACTGCAGGGAGAGTGCCGGATGGTGAAGGCTTTTAGATGAGAAGTGGCTTGAGATCTTCATGCCACATATACTAAACTATACTGTATATAAATATCCATTGGGTGTTTTGATATTTCTCTTCAAAAAATGCCGCTCCGTCGTCATATCAGAAGCATTACAGCCAGCCTCGGTAAAAACTAGAGTTTTCTCAAGGGGGGCAACCTTTGAAGCCCAGGCAGGAGCCTCTTCCCTCACAAAGCTAGAACTCCGTTGTTCAGATCGATCTGTTGTATTATTCCGACGAATTGCGAGTTCTAGTCTGGCATTGAATGCATCCACCAGTGCTTCGACCATGCTAGCAAGAATCGCATATCGGATAGGGTCATTGTCTCGGGGATCTTGGATACCAGCCAGTGCCCAGCAAGGCTCACCATGCAAAAAGAAGTACGTGCACTCGTAGTCCATCATAATAAAGTCACTGGCACAGATATCCTCAAGAAGTCGATACAGTGAGCGGAGAGGTGTGTCACGGGCACGGAATATTGGGATATTGTAAAGTTGCCGAATTCCAGACTGGCATTCATGACGAATGTTCGGGTCATTTACAATATCTTCCACCGATGACAAAGGACGTAGTAAAGAATAGCTCCACGGAAACGGCCAAACAAGAATGAAGAAGACCGACCGTGGATGGGGACATGCGCGAACTCGCCGAAATGTCGGTCGAACCTTTAAAGGGGTATGACCGTGGATAATAGCTTTGACTGGATTCTGCATTTCATTGGTGGATTAGGGCTTGCAACTGTTTTGATCATAAACGGGATGGAGATCATAGAGAAGTAGTCCACGAAAGATGGTTGAGCAAGAAGTAAATATATCGGTCTGTGCCCAAAACCCCGCCACCATGGTTTTCCTGCATCCTGGGGGGCATACCGCAGTAGATACCTTGTAACGGCTATACAGCCAATCAGAGACAGACGAAGTGAAAAATACGTACAAACAAGGTGATATTTTACCGATCGTTTCAATTCTTGATCACTCATAAAATACGGCTCCGGCACCCCCTAAGGGCCCTAACCCTTATTCTTATATGTACGAAAGGACAAGGTCCGTCCTCGTGTTCTTATTTTCAGCCTTGCAGCCAGTAAGTATACAGTATTTTTGTGTGATTTTATTCATTTTGGCCATTTAGGGTTCGTGTCGCATTTAATGTGTTTCCTTGTTTACAAGGAAACCGTCATAGCGTTCTCGTCCCCTGTGTGCTGAGCGTTGAACAAAAGTCCACATAATTAACAACTGAAGCCCCACAGAATCCCGATCCCAGCCATCACGTATATCTAATACCCGCTCAGATGCACCCTATTGCTATGCCTACGCGTCGGAAGTGAGTCTTGTACCAACATCGTCAACGCATTTCCGAAGGCAGATATAGAAACTTGATCTGGTATCCACCTCTTTTGTATGCTGGCCAAACTTTTTTGGATGGATCTTTCCAGCTCCGTGAAGAACTCCTCAATAGGAGCTAAATCCATTCAATAATTTGGCAAGTAGAGTAGTCTCACTCCCGTATCAGAAAGCACCAGATACATTATGTGTACTTCTGATAGGTGTGGCCTGTGGATAATACCTAATAAATACTACCCATATTTAGAACAGAGAGTTAGCCATATTTAAACTTTACACGCATCGCAGTTTTATATGTACACGCGCAAATCAAAAGCGTGATGACATTCTACGGCCCATAAGGTCCAGCTATACATTTTCTGGGATACAGACATGTCCCAAACTATTCCCAGGAGGGGAGACACAGAACGAATGTCAATAAAGGGATTCGGCTGTCTATCTTGAGTAGTTACCCTCTATGCTGTTACGGAACCTCTGCTAGGATATACGTATGCTAAACACAATTTTGTCCAATTAGATTGTTAGGAAGCAAGGGCACAACGGGAGACAGCCCTGTTAAGGATGGATCAGGCTATTCATATCCAGAATAAGCAAAATGAACACGTTCTTTGGCTTACTAACCCTATCATGCCTTGCAATACAAACCCTTGGGCACATTATGCCTGCAGGATCACGCCTCAGTACCTTTCTAGCATCGTTTCGTCCATTAGGGCACCTGTGCCTGAGGATGAATCTGATTCGTACGGACTGTGAATCTCTGTTGGAGGCGTAGGTTCGTGTAGAACAACGCCACACTCCCGAAGCGATTTGATCTCCTCCTCACTAGGGGTGACACGGCAGGAATGATACTCTTCCATTCGCCTCAGCCAGTAGCCTGTGAGAAACTCTGGGAACTCTGTGGTATATCCTTTGTAGGCGCGAAGAATCTCGTGCATAAGGCTCTCAAAATCTTCCAACAAGTATCTCTCCTCGTGGTGAATTTCAGATATCTCGCTTGAGATATTTGTGCAATCCCACGGGTGACTGCAGGTATGAGTAATGCCTATACAGTTGAAGGTTAAGGAGCGAAGAGTGTCTTCGGCCAGCCTACCGAAGTACCTGGGAACCGTTTCGAATGTGCCGGCGAGCCATGTTACAATAGCGGCTATCTGGCGGCCATACCTCAAGTAGGTTGTTGTAGTGAAATGAGAAAATGAACCTAAGAGACCTCGTAAGACAATGGAGAGCCCACGGCATCCACCCGTAGAACAGGCACAGCAGCAGGCGTCGCAGGTGTTGTCAAGTAATATCTGGCGCAATAGTCCTTTCAATTCGATAGGCAACTGGGTCAAGTGTTCAACCCAGCCCTCATTCCGAAAACGCGGTAGAGTGTTACCCACGGCAAACGCTACAAAGTGAAGAGCTGGCGTACCTTCACACAACCGATACGGCTCAGCGCCTTTTCTTATCAACCAACGTGCCTCTTCCAAGATGGACCGAAAATGGTCAGTATTATTCCAACATCCCATCGTGAGGAGGTTCCTGTGGAAGAAACTGGGCGGTTCCACATCTCGAAAACCCGCGTTCCACAGACGGTCCGCTATGGAGATATCATACCCCGAAACACAATAAACAGACCATGGATGGGGTTCCCAGACGCCGCTTATGTTGATACCTTTCTTTTGCAATGCCCCAGCAATATAAAAAGCTTGAAAGTCTATGAGAGCATCGGGTCGAAGTAGCCACTCCGACAATTCATCGACGGACAGGTGTGTCTCCGCTAGAAACTGCAAGTGCTTTCTGCGGTCAACCAAAGCTTGAATAACCAAGTCTCCAATCCTCGGATTTGGATTCGAGGCAGCTGCCCATAGTTGGAGGGGCCCCACATGAATATTTCCAGTTTCTAGAAGGATGCGGACACTGGCCTCGCAATCGAAGTCAAGGGCTCCGTAAATCACGTTCTCGTGCGCCTTATAGCCTGCCTGAAGCAATATCAACAAGCCCTCAGGCCAGTCCGTGTACCAAAGTATCCAATCTTTCATGTCGACACCCTGGTGTACTAAGCTGCGAAGTTCAGCCGTTGACCTGGTCATCAGAGGAACAGCCTCCTCTGGGAAGTCGCTACCTGTAAGAAATGCTCAACGTCAATTTCACGTCTGCCAGACATCGACCCTCTCATCCATATGCTCTCATTAACCGACTTTAACAGTGGAAGAGAGGGAGAAAGCTCTTTTATAATAACTTACCTGTACAGTCGGCTGCCTTGTAAAGCTGCTGGAGAATATAGATAGAGCGATCTATCCCGATTATGTGCCTGGGGGGTCGAGACTGTAGCCGATTCTCAAAGGGAAAGGCTGAACGAGTAATATGGCCGCCAGCATCGAGGATTTCTCTTCCAACCTCGATCAACAATGGCTCGCTAATTACACTGGGTAGTTCTCGAGAAGCGATGACCAGCATATCCAATGGCGTTTCCCCGGAACTATCCACACGCGTAGGCGAGCAACCGGCCTGACGTAAATATTTGATCAAGGCATGCCAATTTGCCTGCTCCTTTGATGGAACCATTGGATATAACGAGGCCAACATCTGTTTATCGAGTTAAAGACTGCTAAAGCCTTAACAAGCTAATACATCCATTCTTGAAGAAAAGCGGCCAGATACGAGATACACATCTATTTTGGGAGGTGTTACTTACGTGTAACAATGTCATTCCATTTGCCAAAGTGTCCGACGGTGAAGCTGCACCGTCTTGAAACATCTGCGCCAGCGTTTGAGAGTATGCAACTGGTGCCTCCACCCCCAAACTTTGCCTAAAGCAGCAAAAGATCAGGTGTCTGATGAAGGTGAATGATGGTGAGTCTTCTGTGACAATTGCGTGAAACTCGAGCTTTGGACTAATGGAAAAGCCACCAGCACCGGAAGTGACTGTAAAAGACAGCTTAACAGAGTAATTTAGCAATGTGGTACATAATACTGCTCGTGTATATGTGGTGGTCAGTTTCATGCTCTTGGCGTTGACGGGGCACAAAGGTCTATGAGGTGAGACCGATGGACCTGGTGTCCGTCCATAGAGCCTATTTGGACTACCATTGGGGCAAGTGCATCCAAACAACTGCCTTCCGTCCGTTATGAACTTAGGCAGATCTTCGTTGATCTCCCTTTGCGTGTCTAAAGCCGACCGTAGAAGACTGGGACTGGGGAGTGGTTGTGCGCCGTTGCGCAAGATATCTTCCTGAGAGCTAGACATTAGTCGATGAACACTGAAGGAGGGAAACTCTTAGCATACCAGGCAATCTATGCGCGCTGCGAGCATGTCTATCTTACTGTCCATGCCAGTATGTGTGTCACCTAGCCCCTGTATCATGGTCACAACTTGGTTTGTATCAGAGGCGGTGGACGCGGTGTACGATAGAACAACATCCATTTGATTTTGGCCAACAACTTCCAAAGCCCTGAAATACGTTTAGCAATCTACTTGCACTGGTGAAGATCAGTAACTTACAATTGCAAACCCTGCAGGGCACTCCCAAGGTTTCTCTGTAACGAGGTTAATGATTCTTTGACCGACACCACCGTTTCCTTCTGAAACGGATACAGCATCCGATTGACTTGGCTCCTGAAGCCTGTCAATTTCCCATTAGAAGAGGTCTTTCTGAATTTTGCTAGCATTGCTGTAAGCTTGTGTATGTGCTCTTGGCACCTTTTGATCAGGTCAGCCGCGCAGGTAGCCTGTTGCGCTACTGAGGGGTGTTGAAACACTGATGCTTTAGCAAGTAACCCATTTAACCCTTGGAGTGTACCGTTCAAGGTTTCCACAATCTCCACAGTGTGCTTGACGTCCTCATAACAGGTCTTGTATGGTCCATAGTAAGAGAGCAGGCCCTGACAAACGGTCAGACCCAGTGATACAATGCCGGCCACGCTTGCGGTAACCGATAGTGGATCGGCCATGATGCATTCCACAGCTTTGAGGTACTGGAGGCCACCCTAGATATGGGTGTATCGGAATTCTGTGATCATATGCATTAGCCATACTTGACATAGAGGTTGTAGGGAGTGACGGAAGAGATGCCTTTCACAAAATATTCAACCACCACTCTAGCTCCTAAGGATTCAAACTCTCAAAGACTGGACAAGGACTGGCTCTTCGACCTTGCCTAGCTATGCTACTAAGGCTAGAAAATGCTACAGTTGACAAGAACCACAAGAAAAGGATCCATGTTATAAAGATGACCATGTGGCGAAGCATTTCCTGGGTTGTTATAGCTCGGCTCTGTGTTACAAATGCATTCAAGGAATATATGCAATTGTTAGTTCCCAATTTGCCGCCTGCGTTACGACTGAAAAACGGTCTCAGACGGCTAGTGTTTCACGAAGGGCAGGACGATGCGCGCCTTCTACTGAATTCACGGACAGCACTTTAAATTCCCCAGGGTATGGCTTAGTTTCATCGGTGAAGACCGCCAGTCTTGCGAATTGTGAGGACGCTTCTTGACTACGAGGCCCCATAGTATGCTATTCGATACCACTCTTTTCTACACCATAGTGATTTTCAATCTCGAAGAGGCAAACATTGGGTTATTGCGAGACAGCGCTAGCATGCATTGACCCTAAATGCAAGCTCCGTATGGCTTGGAGTGGGTGTGTAGTTGAACCACGTCCGGAAATGGTTGTTGACGCGTCCCTTGGCCGATATTGTCTGTAGCCGTCACTGTACTCTGAACTAAAAAGCCTAGGTCTCGTCAGCCTCGTGCATAGCCCGCATCTAGTAATGCCCTTTTTATGGTGCTAAATTTAATGCTGCCCAAGAGTGTACAGTGGCAATGTACGTCTGCGACCAAGCTCCATCTCACTAGATTCCCCATCAATATGCGTTGCTCTCTGGAGCCATGTACTGCGTACTACGCTAACTGCAGTGCAGGCTACTGAGAAAATATGCCAAAATAGCTAATCAGACCGGCTCCAGGTACTATAATACTTGAAAAGAGCAGTAATTCTGCTCTTCCACATACTTATGTGTGCCTGTCTGTGTTGAAAGCCAGTCGTCCATGTATGAGTACTTTTCATTTCGGGAATTACCGGCAAAGAGGGGCTCTGTCGTACAGGACAAAGACCACTATTGGCCACTCTATGACCCCATCGAGATATTCAGCCACTAGTTGCAGTACCTTTATGAGTCCAACACATACACGCCGCTGCTTCGGTATCACAAGTTATCAAGGAGCGGGCTAGGCACGATCGAAATGTGGTGACGGGTACAGCTGTGTGTGTGGACGTATCAACTATGGCCTCTATATTCACGTTGTCGGTTTGCTATCGGCCTCACGGATCATCTAAGACCTCGTGCTCGACTGCTGCCTAGTGCTGCTTCGAGCCGTCTTCCCCGCAATTAGGGTCTAATTGAGGTCATACGAGGGGCACTGCTGCTTAGACCTCTCCGTATGCTAGCTCAAGGGGGTTACACAGGGAGTGGTTGCCCGACGAAGCCCTATGTTTCACAGTCACGCAAATCGAGGGTTCCCTTCCCAACGACCATCTAGACTCAGCTCAGCCCAGCCAATGTATGTGCAGCTTACAGTCGTTCGTCATACCTCTCAGACCTGTTGAGTTAGTGACTGGATATTTCCGATGAGCCCTTACATCGAGGCGGAATGTTGTAACGCCCTGAGCGTAATCGCGAGGTTCTGATAGGGGTGTAATCATGAAACGGGTTGCCTTATTAGCAAGGTGCCTTCTACACACTGCCATCTTTACCACGCTTCTATGTGGCCTTTGTGTACCCGCGCCTAATGACCAGGCATCCTTTTGACTCACCACCGGCACATCCCTGGTCTTCCTCGTAACTGCCATCTCAGCCCCTTGCACCACTGTGCCCACCTATCAAAACGTCAATTGATACACCATGGCTCAGAAGACGGTACCAAAATGCGGCAGCCGCCGCCCTGGCACTTTCTCAACTAGATACACTGCCCCGCGTATGTTTGTGGAGCTGTCAGCAACAGACAGCTTAGAATGTTTGCTCGGTTAGGATGTACGTACCACGCTATTGCCACTTCTTAACAGACGGGTATCAGTCGATGGGTTAATATGGCCTAAAGCGTTCAATGGCGCGGTACTCGCTAGTGGCTCTTATTGATCGCTCAGCATCATTCCTTACCTGACCCGAAATCGCTGAAGCATATCACCCAGAAAGCAGAGGGACGTTACGAAGGTGCACCAGCTCATGGCCCTTGATAATTGTCAATTTGAATAGAGATTTGGATGGGCCCTGGATGGATCAACATTCCCATATTTACAGGTTATTATCGTTCGACGGTGCTTCGGGGAGACAACAGCTCTAAGTCTCACTATATCGCGAAACAGCATACTCCTGTCCTCTAAGTCCAAATATACATTTTCGCGAGTTGGAACAGAGGTAGCAAGTATTCACAGAACTCTTGAGCTGTTTAAAGTCCCAGAAACTTGCAATTATTTACATCGCAGGCGAGGTGAAATTCAAGTGGCGGCCCGTGCCGAGTGAGATCAGTCGGCTTGCCCTAGCCCTCATCTATGTGCCTGTATAGTGTAAGTACCGGAATGTAATCTTTATATGAAGTTCTCCTGATTTTACACCCAATGACAACATGGCAAGACATGTTAGAATCAACAGCATGAGTTCTAAAGACCAGCTGACCTGACTTAATAAGTCCAATAATTAGGTGCCGTATCGTTACTGGAGAGAAGCCACATTGACCGACATGGCGGCTATTTCGGATTCTCCGATGCACTCTCCTAATATAGAAAATAGAAATAAAATCACTTAATTAATTAGTGGATTAATCAATGGGGTACAGACTTGTTGAGCGGGAGGAGCAACAGAATTGCTCTCGTCAGTAAGCACTAACTTGGCCCATGCATGAAAAGTCCCCATCCGGGCCTGTCAGCAACGGTCCTCCTCCACTCACCACCCACCGAGTCAACACCAGCAGGATATCTTCCTTGGACAGAGGTGACGGCCCCCATCCTTGCGATCTGCAAGGCTTACATCCATAGACATCTGGTCAGCGTTATGCTCCAAGCATGCAGAAATAAAAAGCCACCGCCCCGCTTGTTCAAGACAGCAACTGGACAACTACGTGAAGTGAGGGCTAATTAAACAAGTCACTATGGCAGTAGATGACCAAGGTGGTCGAATCGACAAACAGCCCCTCCTGGTATTCACATATTCCCTTGTCTATATTAACATTCAGCACGTTAACACTGTCCTAGATATCAACCGGCGTCTTCTTCGCTCTCGCCATCGTCGGAGTCATCGTGCGTTGTGTGCTCAGGTTTCGTGTGCAGAAACAGAAGTTCCAACTCGACGATGGAGTACTTCTATTGGCCACTGCCTTTCTCGTGGCAAGCACGGTGGCCATGTATGACAAAACAGTCTACATAATGTACCTGGTGGAGGCCATTGCGCTCGGCCGTATGGAGGTCCCTGCGAACATGATAGAGTTGTCGGATGAGGACCACAAATGGACAATGACCACGCTGATGCTCATCTGGTGCGCAATATGTGCCGTCAAGTTCTTTTTCCTGGTGTTCTTTCGGAAATTGATCGATCGCCTACGGGTCTGGCAAATCTACTGGTGGTTTGCTTGCTTGTTCAACCTCGGGCTTTGGGTTTTTGGAGTCGTCGCTTTCTGGGCAACCTGTCCCCATCTGGGTGCGGCAGCAAGTGAGTCCATCCTCCTAATACCCCCTTTCTCCAGATCGGCGAGTTCTAACAGAATCCCCAGTGGAGTGCAACACGCCAAAATATCTCGGCAGGCTTACTGCATACACCGCGTCAAAGGTAGCCGTGGATATTGTATCAGACATTTTAAGTATGTCCCATCTCTTCTAACCTACCCCAGACACACAATATCCCAGCCACTAACTGGATGCACTCTACAGTCCTCGCAATCCCAGTCGCCGTCATCTGGAAGGTCCGCGTGGACTGGACCCAGAAACTGGCCCTAGCAGGCTCCCTCTGTATTGACGTCGTCCAAGTCGGCCTGTCCATCGCCCGAGCCGCCGGTCTGGAGCACGACGGCCGCGCCGATGGCATCTTCGAGATGTACACGCTTTTCATCAGCGCTGCGTTAGGTGTCTTCCTTGCGGCCGCTACTGCCTTCCGACCGTTCATCATGGCCAAGAAGCGCAGCAAGGCCTACACCCCGCCCTACAGCCGATGGCCGAACAGCATCTCAAACAAGCGAAAGGCAGGCTCGGACCGTAGCCGAGGGAGTGGTTGGTCCGGACAAACACCTACCCCTACTGCAGGCGACTTCCAGCGGTTGGCCCCGGACGGCAAGGATTCTGATAGTCGCCGGGAGGACCTGGAGTGGCATGCCATGTCGAGCACGAACTCCAGTGCAACGCACTGTGCGGAGGGGGCGTGCGACTACAACATGGCTGATGATTCTGCGGAGGTGACGGTGGTGCAACCAGTCAGCGTGCTCAAGCACACGGTTTGATGTATAATACGAGATTTGCAAACATTTTTCAGGCTCAGTAGAATTAAACTAGAGCAGAACGACCAGTCTTAATGAAAAAAAAATAATGATAACGTCAGCGGAGTATCCAACGCAGGAATGGGCGTAACACCACACCTGCATATCCACATCAGTCAAGGAGGCGGGGAAACAGTCACAGGTGGGGTTGCAGTGCACAGCCTTGGCCGAGTCGTCGTCGTCCTGCAGCAGTCAGCTTAGGTGATATCGAATATCTCGGCCAATTGTGATCAGACGCCCGCTGCAGATCCTTGCTTCCCTTGGTGTAGATTATGTATTTCCAGGTTTAGCACACCTACTCCGATTCGGCCTCACCACATCTAGTCTACTTATTCACCGGGGGAACTTCCTATTTTGTATATTTATATAGAGAATACAATGGCGTGGAAGGGGGCCATATTGTAGTACTCTAGCATTTACCTCCCAGTGTTCTTTCTCATCAACAATAGCCCCCAACAGCCACGACTCCCAAGAAGCACTTCACAAATCACTTGTTCTAGACAAGCTTCTTTCCATACGACAGGTATGACGTGGTTGGGATACTCCTGTTTAGAAAGATGCTTAGTAAACTTAGCAACCCTACCACCGAGACATGGAAATTGGACACCGACATGGGTCGCGCTGATGATCCAACACCAGTAACTAGCAAACGAAGGCGCCAGACTAATGCAATCGGCGTCGGGTCGAGCCTAAGTTGATTGGGCAGCGACACATTATTTACTGCAATGCTGGCAAGGCAGTATGACACGTAGACGCAGCAGATGGCAGAGGTGTTTGCGCGTAGAAATCATCCATGCACGTATTGATAAATCGCTCTGGGCCATGCACATCGGCCCTCAAACCCCAGTTTCACTCCGCCAATAATGGCCATTTCGAAAGGACTAACAGACTGACAGCACAAGTGCACCGTTTTAGTTGTCGTCATGATGGATTTCCCGCGAAGTTTCCCCCTCAGCATAAAGTTCCCGGGATTGGTTATTCATTGTAGTATAACTTCATTATTATAACGCTATATGATATCTATTCCGCTAACACATAAAAGCATATAAATACTGGTGCAAGTGTCGTTTTTAGGCGAGTATATGCACACCCAGATTTAAGTATTTTTTGACTTCTCGCCTTATCACCACTTGATTTAACGACTATTGTTCCTGCAGTGCCACATGGGCAGTCAAATCCAACAGCCGGTTCGAGTATCCCCATTCATTATCATACCACGCCATGATCTTGAAGAACTACATCTGCTGTCAGCTCGATATATTTACGAGTAGGGGTGCTGGCTAACAAACCTGAGGATTCAACTCTGTGCAAGCAGCGACATCCACGATCGCGCTGTGTGGGTTACCCTTATAGTCGCTGCTGACAAGCTCCTCGTCACTGACATGGAGGACTCCCGCCAGACCGGACTTGGATGCGCGGCGGAATGCGGCCATTATCTCCGCCAATGATGTGGGTTGCTCTGTGGTCACGGTCAAGTCGATCATGGAGACGTTGGGACTATTATTCATCAAATTAGCTTCTGCTCTTGGACATGAGCAACGGGACAATGATGACTTACGCTGGCACACGGATGGACACTCCGGTTACCTTGCCTGTCAGTTCAGGCAGGACTGTTGCGATGGCCTTGGCGGCACCCGTGGTAGTGGGGATGATGTTATCGAAGACGCTGCGGCCTGTTGAATGTTAGCATGCCCTGTTCTCATAAGTGTGACCTATGCAGGTCCATGTCATACACCTACCCAGCCGACGGTTCTTCTTGCTATACCCATCCAGAACCTGCTGTGATTGGGTTGCCGCATGGACTGTTGTCAGGAGTCCCTGTACGATTCCGAACTTTTCGTTCAGCACCTTCAACACCGGGGTAACGCAGTTTGTCGTGCAGCTGGCGCAGGAGACCACACGGCGGTCTTCATCGGCCGTGTACTCATCGGAGTTGACTCCATACACGTATGTGGGGGAGTCGGAGCTGGGGGCGGAAATGACGACCCGCTTGGCGTGGCCGTAGGTAACGTGCTGGAGAGCCAGGTCACGCTTGGTGAACTTGCCGGTGCATTCAACCACATAGTCGACACCGACAGCGCTCCAGTTCAGCTTCTGGAGGTCGCGTTCTGAGGTGAGGATGATCTGGCGGCCGTTGATGGTGATCAGGGTGTCTGATAGGGCGTGGATGGAGATCTCGTCCGAGAGTTTGCCCATACAGGAGTCGTATTTGATGAGGTAGATGAGGTCTTGCACGGAGGTACATGTGTGGTTAATGGCAACGATTTGGAGGTCTGTTCGGGTAAGAGAAGCACGCAAGACGTTTCGGCCTGTTGATTAAGATGATGGTGGTTAATGGCTGAATGTTGAATGCGCATGGTTGACCGTCACCAACCTATACGGCCGAACCCGTTGATGCCGACTTTACACACGGATGGCTGGGTCGAGGCCACACTGTGAGGGAAGTCGCTGATTGAGGGAGCCATGTTGTTATCTCAAAAGGCTGTACTACAATGGGTAGGTGAAGATTGATAGGCTCGTTGAATCTGAAGGCGCTGATGGATATTGAAACCAAAGTTCCAAAACAAATGTGGCTTGACCGTCAATAAATACAAATTTCTATAGCGCAACATGTCTCACTACCGACTCCTCCTGTTCTATATATACAGCAATTCATTACGCAAGAACCATGATATCGCCGCGAGGTAGCATCAACCGTATACTTCTCCGTTAGGGCAGCGACCAGTAATATTGCCGGGAATTCCCGGGCGAAGTCATCGCAGGTCCACTTCTGCGCTGAATGTCCCGATGACCGGATATTTAATCGGCTTTCACCATTGGTAGATCCAAACCGCGAATGAGATCGCGCGTCACGGCCTGCTGGCAACCTGCTCGCCTTGCCGAGAGATATGCCGGCTCGACGCTTGATCTGGAGTTTTAACGAGGTCCGCCGCGTCCTGGCAACCCCATACCCCAATAACCGACCCCTCAACATATTCGAACCTACCCCAGCGCGATCTTTCCGTCATGACATACCGAGTCAAATTAACCTGCATATTGCAATAGCCCCAGTGTCCCATTCGTTGTTCTTCAGGGTCTCTGGGCCCGGCCGGACCATTTCATGTCCGACGGAAATCGGAGCGGGAATGTCTTGTCCGATTACCGGCAATAAAATCTCTCCAGACCAATTCTGGGGCATGATCCACTCTGGACTAGGTTCTCGACCCTTTGATGTCGTAGAAATATATTAATTTAGCATTGGGAATCCGTGGTAATTTTTTGAGGCGTGGATGAGTTACGGGTGGTGATTTGCTTTTCTTCGCAGTCTGCACACTAGAGCAATATATCAACAGCGGCGGGATACTGAGCTACCTTGTTCACCACGACGAATGCTGTTAGTATAGCTGGGTCCATAGGTACACACCTGTTGAAACCGGCCAATGAGACATAAGATGTCCTACAATAATGTACATAGCTCACACTGCGAGGTATTTACTGGCAAACACACAACCATAGAAACCTTCTAGAGACGCTGACAATATCGCTAGAACGGCACTCTACGCGAGTCATGAGTTCTCGTCCGAAGCAGGGGTAACCATGAGCACATCTGGGAATCCCTGCTAGAAAAAGGACCAAAGTCCAGCGCATGGGCATCTTATTGGTACAACCTCAAAACGCCTCCTGGCCAGTATCCCAACACGCAGAAAAGGTCAAAGACCACCGCTCCACACAGTGCAGTGACCATTCTATACGTCGTGGGCATGGCGGTCTGATCAGGCCTAGCACCAACTGTACAAGCTCTGGCACAACATTCTCCCCATGAAACAAAGTTGGCGGCATCTCATTGACAACGGGTCCATGACCTCCGCCAAGAGCGAGACTAACAAAGGGAAGTGGCGGTATATGCACGCCACGAGCCATTCTCACTCCCGTGTCTACCAACTGCCAGCAAGCAAGACCCTGGTAAGCTCTGCATCCGTGGCCAAGCCCTAGAGGTTATGATTAGCCTGTTTGTTTTACCGCTAGTTCGCTAGACTACGGTTTCGCGCACGCCGATCCGCACCACAAACCCCAGATTTTGTGATCCCATCCAGCGCGTGATGATATGCGGGGAAAGGGTCTGGGGATGGTCGATCGCTACGATTGCATTCATTCTAGGAATGTTCATTCGTTGATGGAAGATAATCACGACGTGGAGCTGCCTTAGTCCTCTTGGCTTCGAGTGACCCGAGACCCCCAAGCTTTTGTTTGGCCACATGCTGCATGAGAGAGTCGAGATTGTCTGGAGCTCGACTGCATGCTCCCTGTTAGTGATGAGTATAAATATGGCATGTGTTGTCCTTGCGCCCCGTAACCTTGGACTTGCTTGCGATCGGCATATATATAGATCGTTCCAGTTTCTGAGGCCCAATCAATATTGATCTTGGTATCGATTATCAATTTCTAGTACTATGGCTTCCGTTTTCCCATCAGATATAAAGTCCCAGTACCCTCCTCCTGGAGACAGAAAAGGGCATAGTGCTTACATTGAAGATGTGCACTCCATCAAGCCCGATGAGAAGGCGCAGGGAGATTATGCCGGTGCCACGGCAAAGACGGATCCTAGGGAGATTCGTCTAGTTCGAAAGTTGGACATGCGAATCATGCCCATCTTGTGGGCAATGTATTTCATGAATTTTGTGAGTATCGGCCGAGTTTATGCCCCTACGATGTGAAGCCACTAACAAGAATATACTTCAGATTGACCGCAATGCCGTTCCCAATGCTCGCCTAAACGACCTCGAAAAGGACCTTGGTCTCGTCGGTACCCAGTACAACACATGTATTTCGATATTTTTTGTGGGGTAGGTAGAATTGAAGATCCCGTATTACGATGGGGTTACTCACCAACGTGACAACAACAGGTACCTGTTGATGCAAATTCCCTCCAACATGCTCATGTCCTCCAAGAAAGTCCGGCCATCTTTATACATGAGCGTCTGCAT